GCACCTTCTTTCTCGAGATCCTCTGATCTCTTTCTTTTGCCCTAAGCCTTGGAGGTGCTTGCAAAATGAGCATTTTCTGTCTTGTCTTACTTTAGTCTTTCCTCTTCTTGTACGCAATGTGAAATGAGCTCATTAAGAGACCATTTATCCTTCTGACAGTTGTAAGATACCTTAAATTGATTAAACGTTGCAGGAAGAGAAATCAACACCAAATGAATGAGCAAGTCTTCTGAGAGTTCAAGCTTTAGTGCCTTGAGTTTAAAAACAATATTAGACATGCTCATAATGTACTCCCTGATATTCCCTTTGCCTTGATATTTCGTGGAGATCAAGTTCTGAAGAAGAGTGTTTGTCTCCGCCTTATCGCTTTTTGCAAAGCGCTGCTCAATTTCAGCAAGGAATTCTTTGACACTTGTGATGTTTTCAGAAACAGTGCCCCTAAACACCTCCGGGATGTCACACTTAATGATCATTAGACTCATGCGATTTGAGCGATCCCACTTCTCATAATCTCTTTTCTGTTCAGAGGTACTTGAATCCGTATGAGTAGGGGGTTGCTCAGTCCTTAACGCAAGATCCATATCCATGCAACCAAGAACAATATCAATGTTCTCTTTCCAGTCCTTAAAATTTGTTCCATCGAGGACCGGAACAGAATTTAAATTGGCAGATACAGAAGCAATTGTAGTTGAATTTATAATACGAGAAATAAACTAATTATGCTCACATTATATAAAAAATAAATAATATATATTCAAATAGTGGTTTAACTCATCTCAAGACACCCAATGCACCATCAATATCAAGTCTTTGGACAAGTAATATTAACTGCTAGAGGTATCTTGTTGTAATAATCAAACATTGACAATAAAGCACGTCCAACAACAAACCAGTCTTTGGATTGATTTATCATCGACAAAGCAAATCCTTATAATTATCACATGTTTATTATTACAAGTGTGTATGCAATTCGGCCAAATATTAATCTTCCTTTGGGCCGACTAATACTCGCATGAATATACACAAACACTAACATTCAATATTTTTCATGAACTGCCCAATTCAAGAGAAGTTACTTTGGTGATTTCTTGACTCAATTTGCTCACAAAAAATATTAAACTACCAAAAATTGAATATTTTATTTATATAACAAAACCAAATATTTAATATTTGGAAACTAATTCAAAAGAGAATCACCTCATTAGAATTCTACTAAGGATGAACACCTCCCTAAAATCTCATTAAGGATGAACACCTCATTTGAACAAATCAAAGGATGAAAAAAGACCTCATTTTCCACCAATACATAAAGGATGAACATCTCCCTAAAATCACACTAGGGATGAAACAAAAATAGTTCTGAGTTTTTTTAACATACTGCTCTAAACCCTAAAAGGAGATTAAATAGTAATCACTCAAACCTTAAACAGGGAATTTAACATCAAATTTTCCTAAAAATAAGAACAGACACACCTGTGGAAACATTCACCATTTACCTAATATTCTCTGTGTTGGGAACTCCACAAACACCACCCCCAATTCCAAACCCATAAAATTAAATAAAAACAAAAGATTCAAAAAAGAACAGAGAACCCAATACAAGAAAGATTGAAATTTGAAACACTGTTTCTTTCTCAGTAAAACTTGAAACTTAAACCGAAATAAAAGGAAAAAACGAAGAAGAAGAATTCATAGCTTCCTCCATGGTTCCATCACAAGCAGAATCAGATTGGGGATGTTACCCCCAAATTTAAATTTTAGGGTTCACGAAAAATTAGAGATTATTCTCCACTTAGGGTTCATAAAATTGGATAATTTGAATTGTTTAAAACAAAATTAATCCTAATTTTCATAATTAGGGTTCTATAAATTAAACAGACATGAATCAAATATGGACGGCTCTGATACCAATTGTTGGAAAATTAATAATAATAATAATAATAATAATAATAATAATAATAATCCTGATTTTGATTCTAATGATCAAACATAAACATAATCCCATAATGATAAACATGTTGTAAACTGAATGCGAAAGCGTACCTGAATTAGCCATAACGATGATGTCTTTGTAGAGCACTATATTGATCTTATGGTCTTCCACCTAAAGAGCACATGTATTTTCCTCTTAATTTTCTCTCTTGATGGGGATAGAAAGAAAGGAATGTGACTGATACTTACGTTTTGTGTGTGTGCTCCCAGAAGGGGACCATGACCCTTTAGATAACCAGAATTAGGTTAATTACTTAAGTTTTAGTATTTCCAATTTGGCCCCTCATCAAATTAGAAATTGCTCAATGGTCTCTACACAATTTTATTTTTATGACATATGCTTTTAGCCAAAACTTTAATTTAGTCAAATCACTTTATTATTTGGCTTAATAAATAATGGTCCTAACACATTTAAATTATGTATCATATATATACATTACCCAAATTTTGCCAACAAGTAAGTAAGTTGTATATTAAATGTTTACGAAAAAATGAGTATAAACATATATTTTTCCAAAAATAATTGGAATAATTTTTAGATAATATTATAAAATGGGAAAGAGGAGAAAGAAAGTATAGAAGTACCACCTTTTTTCAAACAAAGTGCGAACCCAGGATGTTATTATAGTCCAATACCGATGAAATTTTCAATGGATTCCAGTTTGTTTGAGGGGAAACTGTGCATCAGGCTCAGTTATTAGATTCATAATGACCAACTTCAGTGAGCATATAAACAAATACATTAACTTGTGCAACAACAAGTCAAGAGATGGATCACATCAATATCATAATGTCACACGTGGTAAATAAAAATCTGTAAGAGAAAAAAAAAAAAAAAAAAAAAAAAACTTGACCAAAACTGGTGTCAAAGGGAAAAAAAAAAAAAAGCATTCAACCATAAAATGATATTTGAGGTGCTAGCGAATATTTGACCACACAAGTAAAACACCTTCACCGTTAGAAAAACGATGGAATAATATTCTTATTTAAGCTTTGAACTTTAGTTTGAAAAATAAGACTTTGAATAAAAGTAGGTTTAATTTTGTCAATCACGCGGAACTTTTAAAAAATTAAACCGACCATAAAAGAATTAATTTTCGTTTGAGCAAATAAAAAGATAAAAAGAAAAAAAGACGAATCAAAATAGTTCAAATAGTATGTATTCTCAGTATAAAAGATTCTAAATTGCTAATAAATTATGAATATAAACTTTATTTTTTTTAATGAAATTATTATCAAACTTGAAACTTATTATGTATTTTATTCAACTATGGATGTACGATGTGCATGTGTAAATAGGATAAAAAATTGGTTATTTTGAAACAAAAAATAAAAATTCTTGCATTAGTTAAATAATGAGATATGCTTTGGTACGTGTCTACATCTTTTAAATTATGAGTTTCATTTAACTATCAAATATAAATTTTTGAAATAAAATATAATTCAAATCCTAATTTAGCATTATATTGACTTTTTTTTCTTTTATATAAAATAATTTTCTGAAAAATACATGTGTTGGTTCTACCATGGCATCGTCCATTTTAGATTTTTCTTTTGATATATAACTTTGATCACAAACAGAACAATGAAGACACTTTCTTAATGTATATGCTTAACCTTGACGTTTACTTGAGAGAATAGGATTGTGATATAATGAATTCTAGACTTTTAGTTTGTGTCCATTTCTCATGTAAATGCCCTGTGTTTGAATTTTCATATTAGAGCCACGCGAAAATAGCGAAACCTAGACTTATATTCAAATTTGAGTTCCACAAATTAACGGTTAAACACGTTTTTACCTTCAAATACAATCAAATTGTACTTTTTGATTTTTATGTTTTTTTTCTTGACTTTTAATTTTTATTTCAATATCTGCTATCTTTTTTTAAATTAAAGTATATCTATTTTTTGGTTTTAGACTTTTAATATTTAAATTATATATGTGTGTGTGTTTTTTCTCTATCATATGTTTTGAAAAAAAAACTAAAATGAGATATAGTAGAATAAAAAAGAATTTAAAGGTAAAAAATAAAATAAAATCTAGACTTATTTAAAATACGAGGGGAAGTAACATAAAAAAAAATGAAAGAGAAAGTAGATTTACATTGTTTCAGAAAGTTGAGTAATCGAGGAAGCTTTCTCCTATTACAAACAGCATTTTCAGCCAGTAACCCTATTTAAATGTTGTTTTGCTTTTAATTAAAAAAAAGTGGCGTAAAAGGTTACTAATTCATAAAAATAAATAAAAAATATATATTTTTTATGTACAATAACAAGAAAGATAATAAAAAATGTGTCATTTTATAAAATATATGTTTCACTTTTCACTTATGAGTAAAAAAATAAAATTATAATATTATTACTCAAATAAATAATTATTTATTTTTATATTTATAATTTTAATTTTTATATAATTTTTAATTACTATTTCAATAAATATTATAAATATAAAAATTATGATTTTTAAATCATTATAAAAATGAAATAAATAATTTAGTTTATGTTTTTATTTTTATTATGATATTATTTTATTAATTTAAATTTAAATATTCTTTTAAAAATATATTTTATAATTATATATTATTAAAAAATTGCATATTAATTTAAAAAGGTATTTTATTAATAAAAAAAATAATTAATAGTTATATAAATAATTCTAAATTAAAAAAATATTTAATTTAATTCAAGTATTTATTTCTTTTAAATTATTTTTTATATATGTTTTCTTTAAATGAACATAATATTTTCTATTTTTTCACATTTTCTTTCTTATTTTCAAACAGGTAATTAGTGACTCTCTGGTGCTTTATACTTAACAAGAACCAAGCTTCTGTTTTTTATTCCAAAGGGAAACACTTATATCTCAACATTTCATTTAAGTTATAAAGAATAGGAATAAAATCAAGAAAATGACAACAAGTAAGAGCAGGAAATGACAATAAGCAACCACCAGAGATTTAACACGAAGAAAACTGTGCAGAAGATGACGAATTAGAATGTTTTGTTTTTCAATTTGAAGGAACCCTTTGAACGATCTTGACCGGGAAGCCACCTTCCATAAGAGAAGTCAAGAACGAAAAGTAGTGAGGCTCGACCTCTTGAGCAACCGCGGGAACCACCGTGAACCGCCTGAGAACGCCAGCCACCATCCTCTTCATCTGCATAAAAGCCATTTCCTTCCCCAAGCAAATCCTTGGACCCGCCTGAAACACTGGATAGGTGAACGAATCCCTTCCCATAAATCTCCACTTTCCGGATTCAACCTTCTCTAACCACCTCTCTGGCTTAAACTCCGCCCAATCCTCACCCCAAATACTCTCCAACCTCCCCATGGCGTACACGTGATACGTCACCAACATCCCCTTCTTCACTACCGTCCCATCCGGCAAAACGTCGTCGCCCATTGCTTCCTTCACATCCGTCGGAACCGGAGGGTACAGCCTCATGCTTTCACACAGCGCTGCATGAGTGTAAATCATATTCTTCACTTCATCGTACACTGGAACCTCCGATTTTTCCATTATCTCATTCACAATCTCCTTCTCCACGCGCGGGTTCTTCGACAGCAGCCAGAAAAACCACGTCAGCGCAGCTGACGTGGTATCCTTCCCTGCCAATATGAAACTTATGACTATGTCCGTCACGAAGTCTTCATTAGAGTGTCCCGAACTCAAGAACCGCGAAAGCATGTCCACCGATTCAAGCGATTCCTTCTCCTTCAGTTCCCTCTTCTTCTCTCTCACTATGTTCTTCGCGAACTCGCGCACTTCCCTTACTGCCATTCGCAATCGCTTTTCCGAACCTATGTTAAGTACTCTCTTCAATTTCCACACTAACCACAAAGGCTCGCGGAACCGGTTGCTGCTGATCTCTGTCGCTTCTTCGAAGGCTCGCGCGAATCTGCTTCGTTCAACGGACGGTGTCAGGTACTCGGGGTCGAAGCCGAACGAGATTTTGCAGATGTTGTCAAACGCGAAACGTTGGAGAATGTCTTGGAAATCGAGGGTTTGGTCTTGCTTTGCTGCGGCTGAAGCGAGGATGGGGAGGAGACGGTTGGAGAGTTCAGCATCCACCACTTGCTCCACGAATTTCCGGAGAGACTTTGTGTTGAATTCCTGGCTGGCCACCTGTCTCTGAAACTTCCACTTGTCGCCATCCGCGTTGAAGATTCCTGTGCCCAGGAAATCGGAGAGAATGGTAGTAGTGGTGATGCCCTTTCCGTAATTGGAGAAACGGGTCTTGAGAATGTACTCTACGGTGGCTGGGTTGCCAGTGAAGATGTTCCGGCGGCCCAAGGGGCTGTGGAGGGTGAAAGTGGCAGAGGGTGAGTTTTTGAGGACATCGGACAACCACTGAATACGGCGGTTACCGAGGGATTTGACGGCTAGATAAGAACCAATAAACGGGTATACTTTTGGTTGAGAAATGTTTGATGCAGAACCTGTCTCTTTCTTCTTCGAACCTGTAGACGAGTGGCCGAGGAAGAAGAACAAGAGACCGGGAAGGACGAAAAAGAAGAAGAAAGAAAGTATCAGATGAGGAAACATCTCAATGGTTTTCGTAGGTTTAGATTCTAAAGAGATAGCACTGATATTTGTATCCAAAGATCCAAAGAGATAATTAATTAAATATTTTATTTAAAATTAATTACTTTAATTAATAATACACCATCTTATTTTAATTTAAAAATAATATCAAATATATAATGTTTAAATAAATATAATAAAAACTAAATAACATTAAAAAATATAGTGTATAAAATTAATTTTTATCATTCTATCTTTCATATTTTTGTTTGCTTGAAATAGGTGATAATTAATTTTATCTTAAATAGTTACTCTTTTTTAAAAATTAGGATAAAAAATTGAAGATATATCAATAATTAAACATACTATTTTTTTTTAATATCATAATGTTATTTTGATAAATGTATTTTTTATCTTCAATCATCAATATTGTGTAATATAATATATGTATAAATTATATTCTTCATGAACATCTCAAAATTGCAAATTAGGATTTGAAGACTCCAAAATGTATATTCAATATCCTTAAGTCTTATTGTTGAATAAAAAAATTTCTTTTTGTTATCTTTGTGACATGGAAATAATTTTTACAAATATTATAAAATATAGATAAATACTATATGTTAAATAATATCTTATTTCATATTACATTTCATTCACAATGGAGTACATAATAGGTGTAAAACCTGATATAACTTCATTAAACATATTAGATACATTAAGGTGAATATTATCTAGTTCACTTAAGGGATGAGACTTTACATTGGATGAAGGAGGAATATTACTCATATTTTATATCATTGGAGATGGTGGAAACATAAAAATTGGTGGTAGATAAATAGAATTTTGGGAATTTGAAGAATTTTTACCCATAAGAAATGAATTAGTTTACAATAAATTATATTAATACAGGTAATTAAATTGATTGAGACTCATAACTAGTGAAAAAAAAATGGTGAAATGAAGGATATGTCAAATTTTTTTACCCTTAATTGAAGTTTTGTAGTGTAAAAAAATAATAATTAATTACTACTCAATTATACTCAACAGTCAAATTTAAAAACACCTCTCAACCCTAATAATATACATAATCCAACTGTCTAATTCTTTTTTTTTTTCATTTAATGGTACAATTTTCCAAGTACTCCATTCTTCCATTCATCCATCGTTTTCCATTCTCCTTTCTCTATCTCACTTAACTTATGGGTTAAGTTAATTCGAGTCAGGTTAAAGTAGGTTAATCTACAATTTCCTATTCATTTTATAATTAATAATCAATTAATATAATTTTTATTTCTCCACCTATATTTTATGTCGTCATTATAAATCAAATTCTCACTTAAATTTATCATCAATTATTACATTTAGATCACTTATCCTCCTTCTATCGCACCCATCATGTTCATTGTGTTTTAATTGTTATAACGTTTGTCTCATATCAATCCCACGTTTCGATCATATTATAGCGTTTGTCATGTTAATGTCAAGTTTTAGTCTCACTTTTCAATTATACTACAATGTTTATCACGCTATAACGTTTGTTTATCACCACGACATAATGTTTAAGTTCCTTGATTAAATCATATTTTAAAAAAATAAGAAAAAAATAAATGTGAGTTAGTCAAGTAACCCATCATTCTATAATAAATTGATGTAAGTTCTAAAATTTTTTGTTCATCATAAAATAAATTGGATTGAGTTTACTTATTATTAGTTCAGATCATGGCGAACCAACTTTGTGAGCATACTTGAATTACTTTCACATCCCCTACCATTTTATTTAACTCTGCAATTACTGTTAGCGTTCATGTTCATCTTTATTGTCCGGATCCGTTGTTATTGTCCGTTTTTATTAAAATTGTAAATCGCACTGCCCAGTTATACGATTTTTATTAGAATTTTATATATTTTAATTTAAATTTTAAAATTAATTATTATTGATGGGTTATTATTGTCGGTTGGTGGTTAATAATCTTATAATTTTTGTTGTGAATTTTGAAAATAAAATTTAAATTAATAATAAATTTTAGATTGATGATAAATGATTTCACTGATTAACCGTTTAAAAAAATATTAAATTAGTATATTTTATCTTAAACATTCGTTACTTCTTTTGTTAATTTCCTCTAATTTTGAAGCAATTTATCTTGCCATATCATCTCCTTTAATGGAATAGTGGGTTCGAGTACCTTTAATAAATTTTTTAAGCCTTTTCTATGGGAGATGCTCATAGACATGTGTCTAATGGCAACGTGGAATAATGCTTAGGGAACCATGTTTTGTACCTGTAAGCAGGGAAGAGAGGTTTTAGCTCTCGATCCTTCCTGACTTTTTTAATTATCTTTATTTTTGTTTTTTATTTTTGTTGTCAAGTTAGAAATTAAGTTTAAATTTCCGTTTTTGTTGGATTTCACGTTTTTCTTCTTCGTAGCCCATCTATGTGATTTTTAAAAAATAATTACATTTATAATAAATTAATTTTACTATCTATTTTTTATATATAAATAAATATTTATAATTTATAATTATTATTAATTATATATACATTTTAATTTATTATATTTATATTAAAATATATACGTAAAAAAATATTTAATTATTTTTTATTTATAACATTATTATTATAATACTATATTCAAATATTTGATTTTATATATAAATTAATTCATTTTTAAATTGTGATTTAAAAATATGAAATATATAGTTTATAAAGAAATATTTAATAAGTTAATTCTTATTCAATTAGTTTAAAATAACAAAAATTTAAATTATCAATTCATTTAATCTTTTAAAATATAATTATTTTATTAAGATAAAATTTGATATATAATAAATAAGAATAATAAGATAAAAAAATATCACATAATAAAACTTAATATGTATAAATTATAAATAAAATAATATTAGTTACTATTAAGATTTATGTAAAATATTTTAAAAAAGATACAAAATAAAAAAATTAACTTATATTCATTAAATTGGTTAAAAAATATTGAAAAAAAAAACAAATTGACGAGAGATTAAGGAAATGTAAAAAAAAAAATAAGAGAAAAAATAATATAATAAATTAATTGATATAAAAGATAAAAAAAAACAAAAAAATTAAAAAATAGATAAAAAAATTTGGTTAAATATAAAAAAATCATTTTATATATAATAAAAAAATATTTTTAAAATATTAATATTTTAAATTTAAATATAAAATTAAAACCAAAAATAAATCGGATCGAAATCAGGATTAAATTACCCATTCTTATTTTCCTCTCACTTTTTAAAAGAAAGAAAACCTCACCCCAACCCGGGGTCAAGTTTCTCCCATCAAACTCGAGCCAATACGTGATGCGTCTCACGTGTACGTGTTTAATTGACGTCCTTTCCTTTTCTTGGTAAGATAAGTCGTCACCTTTTCACACAGAAACTTCAAGGAAAATAATTGTTTCAGAATTGGGTGGAACTTATCATTACCCAAACATCAAATCTGCTTTCTTCTTGGTGTTAATGCTTTGATAAAAGACAACGTGATAATTATTATCATCTGGAATTCCAAATTTTAAGATGGACACGAATTTAATACTTTAATAAAAACAAAATTCATAATTTAATAAATTGTGTGACTTAAAAATACATGCAGAAATTTATAATAGTAATAAGATATAATTTTGAATTTGATTGATGTAAAATAATAATTTATTTTTGTTTTCATTGTTATATAACATTCATTAACTATGAAGATGGATATATAAGTGGTTAATACGCTGAATCTAATTACATATGTTAAATGATGTTGATAGAATTTTTGACGACTTAACCAGAATATTCGAGTATTTACGTTTATTTGTTCGAGAGAAGGGATTTCATGGAGTATTTATAGGTTATTGAACCCCTCCCCAAAGTGGTGCTTTGATTCTCCTTTGAGATCCTTGAGTTCTTCGCAATTATAAATATTTTACATATTCATTGTGAAGTTGATAAGATAGGAGTAAATATGGACATTATATAAAGAACGAAAGAGAAATACAATGATCCGATTTTGCTTACGCAAGGCAATGCGTGTTCTGATCTATGCCCGCTTTGTCAAACTTTAAAAATGGACAAATATGCACATTAAAAACAAAGATAGAAGGTGACGATTTTGCTTACGCCTAACTATGGCCATGCTGTCAAATCCAAAAAAAGAAAAGCTAGAGAAATAATTGAAAACGTACCATTCAATACTTTTTCTCCACGCCTTCCTCCTTCACTATATGTATATATATACACAAACTTTCATTCACATTATCACATCCAACGTATTACAACTGAAGATCTATCTACACATAAAAAAAATTGTACTCCATTTCTAATTTCGCAATCGCGTCATAGGAAAATGATTGAGATACTTCAAAATTTGCAGCTGCTAGCTCCTCTCTTCCTCATCATCATCTTTCCCCTCTTCTTCTTCTTCTTCTCCTCCGCAGGTTTGAAGAAGAAAGAAGCTGATCCAACAACAAAAATCGTCACCATCCCAAAGTCATACCCACTGATTGGTTCCTACTTAGCCTTCAAACGCAGCGGCAACCGCCGTATCCAGTGGCTATCCGATATAGTCCAAATCTCACCCGCCGCCACGTTCACCCTCCACCACAGTATAGGCCGCCGCCAAGTCATCACCGGCAACCCTGCCAACGTGGAGCACATTCTCAAGACTCACTTCTCCAACTACCAAAAGGGCTATTCCTTCATCAGCACCCTCTCAGATTTCCTCGGCTCGGGAATCTTCAACGCCGATGGCAACACTTGGAAGTTCCAAAGGCAAATCGCAAGCCACGAATTCAACACCAAGTCTCTACGCAAGTTCGTTGACCACGTGGTGGATGCCGAACTCGCAGACCGTCTGGTCCCCATCATGGCTTCAGCGGCACAACAAGACAAGACCCTCGATTTCCAAGACATCCTCCAACGCTTCGCCTTCGACAACATCTGCAAAATCGCGTTCGGCTTCGACCCGGAGTACCTGACCCCATCACATGAACGGAGCAAGTTCGCGATGGCGTACGAAGAAGCGACGGAGATAAGCAGCAAACGGTTCCGCGAAGTGTTTCCCTTGGTGTGGAAAGTGAAGAGGGCGCTTAACATAGGTTCGGAAAAGCGTTTGCGAATGGCAGTGAGGGAAGTGCACGACTTCGCTAAGAACATAGTGAGAGAGAAGAAGAGGGAGCTGAAGGAGAAGGAATCGCTTGAATCGGTGGACATGCTTTCACGGTTCTTGAGTTCGGGGCACTCTGATGAAGACTTCGTGACGGACATAGTCATAAGTTTCATATTGGCGGGGAAGGATACCACGTCAGCAGCGCTGACGTGGTTTTTCTGGCTGCTGTCGAAGAATCCGCTAGTGGAGAAGGAGATTGTGAAGGAGATAACGGAGAAATCGGAGGTTCCAGTGTTTGATGAAGTGAAAAATATGGTTTACACGCATGCAGCTTTGTGCGAAAGCATGAGGCTGTACCCGCCGGTGCCGATGGACACGAAGGAAGCAGCAGACAACGATGTTTTGCCGGATGGGACGGTGGTGAAGAAGGGGACGTTGGTGACGTATCACGTGTACGCCATGGGGAGGTTGGAGAGTATTTGGGGTGAGGATTGGGCTGAGTTTAAGCCAGAGAGGTGGTTGCAGAAGGTTGAATCTGGAAAGTGGAAGTTTGTGGGAAAAGATGCTTTCACTTATCCTGTGTTTCAAGCGGGTCCCAGAATGTGTCTGGGGAAAGAAATGGCTTTTATGCAGATGCAGAGTGTAGTGTCTGGGATTCTGAGGCGGTTCACGGTGGTTCCCACGGTGGCTGAAGGGGTGGAGCCTCACTTCTTTGCCTTCCTCACCTCCAAGATGGAAGGTGGTTTTCCTGTGAAGATTATTGGCAGGGAAACCTCAAATTAAAAGCCAGCTAGTTCTATTAAGTCCACCTCGTACCCTCACTCTAGGGAATTGTTTGAATAAATGTGTTAGGTTTGAGTTTGAGCATTGTGGTTTAGTTGTTTGTATTTTTCTTTTATCCAATATTAGTTGTCATTATTATTTAAGAAAGACGGCTATGAGCAGAAGTGGAGTCAATTATTTCACTACTCTACGGTCAACAGAGGGTTTCAGATAAAACGAAACAAACATCCCTCGTCACTTTCATCCAGGGCTGCGGACAGCAGAGGACAATTAGCTCTTTTCAGTTTCTAGAAAGAGATAAAGAACTATAAAATTAAAATAAAAGTAGTACATACAAGAACAAGAAATGTGGGTGCAATTTTATCGTAAGAAAACTTGATGAATAGGTAGCAAAATTCGACGTATACTATTTTTCATCTTCTACTTCTGCGAGGACTTACTCATATCTCCCACGCAATGGTTAATTGCTTATGACGTCTGTGGTTTCATTGAATCTTCGTTAACTGGATTTATATAATTCCTGATATGAATCATAGGACTGAAACAATTTTAAAATTCACTACACGAAGGGTGTGCAGTTTTGAAAATTTTCAGCTTTAGTATTTTAGAGCTTGTATGAAACAGAGTAGTTGAGTGATTTTTGTTTAGTTTGTGCTAATATTTACATGAATTTATATATTTGCCGTTTAAAAGAATAGCAATAGCATTGTGCTAAAACTAAATAACACTTTTAATGTAAAGGGACTTGTAATGTAGAAGAGGTATAAATGAATTAACAAGTTAAAAAAGGCGGATCAACCCGTTAGACACCATCGATTTATCACTCTTAAAAAATATACATATATTAATATTTTTCACATAAAATATTTCTTAATTATGCTTTTTTAAAAGACTATATATATATATATATATATATATATATATATAACTTAAAAGGTTAAAAATAAAAAAATAATGATAAAAGATAAAATGAAGATAAATTTCATACAAGATATTTATAATCAAATTATTAAATAAAAAACATGATTAATAGCATAAGAACAAGAATTATATTTAATATTTGACCATACAACATAACAATCTAAACAATACAATGATTGGATACAATATAAATTATATTTACATGACTTCTTTTTTATTAAAATTTTCCATATAATAAATTTCTAAAAGTTGATTTTTAATTTAAATTATGAAAAATATAAAAAAAATATAATTTTTAAATAAATAATACAACAATGTAAAACATATAAGATTTAAAACAATAAATAATTTTTTTAAGAATTATGAAAAATATTTTATTAATACGGTTTTTCATCTCAAAAAATATTCAAGAATTTAAAACTACAATAAATATCTTCAAATATTAAACTACTATTATGATTTTATTTTATTTTATTTTAATAATCTAATAAATAATATAATTTATATTCATGTGTCACAATAATTATAAACTTTAATACATATAAGATATCATGTTAAATATAAAATTACTATATAAAGTAAGATTAACAATTATATAATTACTATATAAATTAATATTAACAAAACATGTGCTAAGCTTTAACCAATATTTCTTGCAACTGGAACCATCTGCATTAATCAAATTCATTAACCAACTTGCCATAAAGATCAAATCATATTAATATTTTGTTTCATTCTTTTGATTGAAACATGAATATAGAGTATAAACAGTCGAGTCAAAATTGTTAATACGAAAATAAACAAGTCAAAAAAGGAAACTTAAACATAAGATTTAAAAATTGATCTACTCTTGGCCCAACAAAAATCCATCTTAGTAACGGAAAAGATTCTAGTCTTACATTAACAGTGTAGAGAAAACGAAATATAGTTGAAGATATAAGAAAAAGAAAGTGTTTAACAAAATCTTAATTTCTATATTACTTTTTCATAAGACTAAATTATGAAATTGGGGAGCAGAGGTTAACATAGGTTGTTAGTAAGACTCCTTCCTACACAGTGAATTTACGCAATAAAATTGGTGAGCGTAGGTTCTAACATCGAATCGTTTATAATAATAATAATTAATGTGAAATGCCCAACAAAAAAACGAGGACTAACAGTATAATAACATTCTACGCAGGAAAAAAAAAATACACTTAGCACAGCATAAACCTAGAAAATATGCCCCATGGTAAAATATAATTGCACGTTAAGTTTACAGTTTACACAAAGCTCCTTAAGCAAGACAAAATAAAGCACCTTAATACCCATAATTGGTGCCATAAACGGGCCCATAATCTGCTGAAGGCACGTGGCCTGTATGAGCTCCAGTGCTGGAGGGTGGAGATGCATAAACCGGAGCATTAGTTGGATAGGTACTGTAACCTTGGCTACCTGAACCCCCCATTGGATCCTGCGTCGCATTTGCAGCTTCAGCCATGAAATTCTGCATCAGAAGATAGATTGTGTGCATTTCAGATAAACTAAACCTGATAACTACAGTCTTTTTCGGTGGATTTGAGTTTTGAAATTAATGGGCAAGAAAGATATCATTTGTATTAATTAATAAGTTTTATAGCAGGAATTCTCCAATAAAACAAGGAGTCTTCACTCTTTATGGTCATGGATTCAGCAAACAGATGCCCCTATTGATCATCTTTTCCTTGACAAAATTTGTCAATTTATTGGATTGGATTAAAAAAGCATCACAATTAAAGTGGAGTTTCACCAGCAGAACTATGGATTGTAGCCGCTAGTGTGGCCGACGAACTGGTATTAGTAGACATATTGGCAACAGAGAAGCGGGGCTACCAGTTCTAGGGTGTAGTATATTTGACAATATTAAAATCATTCAATTACTAAAATTCAAATCAACAACAAGCGCCCACAAAATCAAGGAGTTCCCCATGGAGTAACACTTCGCCAAAAATAATACAGGTAACAAGCAGAATACAAGATGTGATAAAAATACCTGAACCAGCTGTTGGGCTGCCTGTATTTGAGAAGAAGTCCCACTCATCTCGACAGTCATCTCCCCTGGCACACCCCTGGTTTCCTGAATTGTAATACTTGCCCCACTAGCACGACGAATATAGCTGATATTAGTTCCTGATGCTCCTATAACAGCATCTGCATATGAAAGAGGAATTTGCATGTGCTGCGTGACCTACACAATATATAAAAAATTACATTAATTTAAGGTAAAACCAAAGGGTCCAAAAGTGAATAATAGTATCTACAATCATCCTCAAGTTAGCAAAAGACAACACCTTAGTTACAAGAGATTGATGTGGTTGTACACTTGATGAATGAATTCCCATAGAAGCATCCCTTGCATAGGCAGGGGGTGGACCTTGATGAAGATTCTTATCCATGGGAGGCAACTCAGTGGGTGGGTAATAACTATCATAGTGATGTGTAGGTGGCATATATTGATGATTGGGTGCAAAAGCAGGTCCTCCACCACCACTTCCAGCAGGAGCAGGAAACCCTTGAGGAGGAACCCAACTTTGATGTGGCGGCCCATTCTGGTTAGCTCTAACATCTGACGTTTGCATCTGAAGATTGGAAGAAGGGGGCGAAAAAATTACCCAGAGAATTGTATGCAAAGAAACTTATGCGAAAACTAAAACTGAAACATTGCTGAAACAATTAACAATATTGACGAAATAAAGCCAATAGAATGGAAAGAAATCTTGACCCCACTTCTGAATTCATATCTTCAACTTCGAAGAAACAATTTAAAAATGGGGAACTTGCCTGTGTTTCAAAAACTCCAACTATGCTGCGGTCAACCAAGAACTTGCGTAAATGAACTGCAATAAGTTCAACTGCCTTGTGAACACCAGTAGAATCCCCTTGTATTTCAACAATACTATCATCTCGCAGAGCAAATACTGGCAGGTGTTCTGTTTAAAGATAAATAATATATTATTCAGTTGCATAAATTCCCAATATTCAGGACAAAAAACTTGGTAATAAGAAATTTAAAAGAATAGTCCAGTATTTTTAATTCAAAATAGGCTAAATCATTTTTTTGGTATAATTGTTTAACAAAAAAATAATTAAAAAAAATGCAGTATGACAGTAACAAACACTTCAACTAAATAAGAAGAGCACTTCAAAAAGAAGAGCAGATAAAAGAACTACTTGGTATAATATCTCTAAAAAGACCCAAATGAAAGGCTTAAGAAAAAATAACTAATTAAAAGCAATATTTATTAATAATTGGTTGCCAACACAAGCACAAATACCCTAAAATAATATACAACAGCTGTGAGCAAACCTGATCCCAGAACACGTATGGTGCAACCAGAACCATCTTGAATGGATTTTATAGTTGATCCCTGCTTCCCAATCAAGCTTCCTGCTTGAGTATCTGCCACTAGAAGCCTAGTAACTACTGATCGTCCAGCAGCCAATGCACTATCTGCAAGGTCACGATCAACATTGATAACTTGCTTATGAACCCTTAGCAAACCATCAACAGCAGGTGGTATGGGCCGATCCGGCTCTTCTTTGGCAGAAACCATTACCTACCAAAAGGCATCAAAGAAAGATAATTCAGAAACACAAAATACAAAATTAGATCTCAAAAATATGAAAAACAGATTTATTTTCAAATTTTAATGCAAACAATTAATTGATCCATCTCAATGTTCAAAAAATATATTTCTTCATCAAAATTGTGGTACTACTAGCAATAAAAAACCATTGTGTTTTAATTTCATTTTCAATTCCTTTGACCCTGTGAATATCTGTTTCAATGGATTAGCAACCAATTCAAATTCTAGGTAGCTGTCACCCAACTAATTGATGGATGGATAAAGATAAATTTCAGATTTACAAATGTCAATGACATTATCTCCTGAGTCCTGACTTCATCTAATCGTTTCCGTTGTATTATCTTTATATTTTTTTTTAGGAGTTCTTCAAGGAAATAGTTTCACGGAGTGTGGCAAGACACCAATCGACCTGAGTTCTGAAGTTACCAGGTACAGTGAAAGCCTCTTGCCATCAAAGTCTGCACAAACTATTTCTGATTGTTAACACAGACACTTGTACATGCTCATTGTTGTTCCCTGCAACTTGAACTTTGGCACTTCGATTTGAAGCCACTTTGGTCACTCATATTTGCTTGACAACCTGCACATATCCATTTGGTTACCGAGACAAAAGACATCTCCTTTTTTTTGTGTATATTTAACCAGTTTTATTATTTTTTATTGTATTTTGTTTCACTTGGATACTTTTTGTTTCACTCCGTTTGCAACTGTATATTTTTTTTTAAATAAAATTACTCCATTGTAAATATCTTACATGTTTTATCATGACACGTGATTAACTTTCAAATTCATTACATAAGTTAGTTTTACCATGTAAAAGTCTTCTCTATAGAATCACTAGGTATTACATAATTCCCAATATATATATAGCCCTACCAGTTCTAAGTAACCCTGATTAAAGTTAAAATAGAGTTAATTGTATTCACTGTACGAAGGAGATCAACATAATAAACAAGTATGATATTTTTCAAACAGACATTCACACATATGTGCAAGGTCATCGTTCAATGCATAAAATAATCGGAAAATTGAAACTTACTGCTCTTTCTGAGATTCCAGGTGGACCATCAAGAATTTTAATTCGCGCCTTAGTCTCTTCTGTAATTTTCTTTATAAACTCACCCTTTCGTCCGATAATACTGCCAACCTTTTGCACTGGAACCAACATCCTGAAGACATTCTCTCCTGGCCACCCCGGCCACTTTTTTATTTCATTTCCTTTCAAAACATCGTCGGATCCCTGTACCGGCGACGAATCAAAATTCTCAGTGACATACACAGCACCATGGTCTTCCTCAACATGCTCCTGCTGTGGAGAATCCGTGTCCCCAGGCAAACCTCCAACATCATGTTCATGATCATGTTCGTGTTCAACAAAATGATTTTCAGGAAAATTGGCATCCTCGACCAAATTGACTGCATCATGTTCATCAGGCAGCAGATGAGGAAATCCAGAGCTATCAATCACAGTCCCTACATCGTGTTCATCAGAATGATTTTGGGGAAAACTAGGGTCCTCGGGCACATATCCTTCATCATGTCCATCAAAACCATGCTCGGCCATGGATATGATTTCTGCAAAAACCACTCAATTTGAACAATTAATCGTCAGCATTATTTTCGACAGAAATTTAAATTCACAAAAGCAAAACCCAAAATTGCCTTTCGGAATGGACATAACAAGAAAATGTTTGACAATTGAACAAATTCCAAATTCTCAAAAATTAAATGCAAACTTCAAATAGGTATCCCTACGAATGATAACTTGCAGAATTACATAAAAGCCCTAGAAACGATAGTGTGAGAGATGAAACAGAGTAATATGAAAAAAAAAAAAAAAAATCGGGTTGTAAGTTGTTGAGATTAGTGGTTTAAATGAACTTACATGATTGGTGAGAGAAGTGAAGGAGTAAGAGCACAAGGATATCGAGCCGCGGAGAATTTAGGTTTTGCAAGATTGTGATGAGAAGAATAAGATAAAAGAGATGCCATCTCTAGAAAACGAGTTGTATTTATACTAGATATTTTCGTTCCGAGTCACGTGTTGATAACTTTCGCGCTTTCAGTTTTTTTATTTATTTATTTTTTTACTTTTTATTATTTATCACTGGTGTGTGGACTGAATGATATTTTTGCCAAAGGTGAATGAATTTATTTTTTTAAATTTCAATTAATCAATATATAAATGAATTTATATCCTCATTAAATATATTTAATATTTAATATATGAATATTGTTTAATTAAATAAATTATTACTGTAACTATTTATAATTACTAATTTAACTCTAACTATCCTTCATTAGTTTTTAAAAGAATTCACAGTGTTATTCAATTCTTGAATTTCAAGAAAATAGTAATATTAATATTAAATCATTAAAATTGATAAATATGAAATTATTTTTTAATTTATACTATTACTTGTTTCAGAAAACCATTTATAACACTTCGAAAATTTTAATAATGCATTAATAATAGTTTCTAGCGAACAAAGATAGTAAATTCGATACTACTAATTTAATAAAAACAAATAAATTCTATAAAAATGTTTAAAATTTCAACTGTCAGTTTATAATAATTTTAAATAATTGAAAGAGATAAATTATATTTTATTATTTAATATCAACTATTCATAGTTTCGATAAATTATTAAAAAAAACTACAACCTGATTCAATAAAGCATTTGTAATATTTTTTTTAGATTTAAAATTATTCAATAATCGTTTATAATCATAAAAAAAACTATTGGGTTTAAAACTACTAGTTAAAAAGAATAACTATTTACTTGATAAATTATTTTAAAATGCTTAAAATCTATAAAAAAAATAACAATTTAAATAGATAAAAATAACAAAAGTTTAGTTAATTACTTGATGTTAACCATTGTTGCGTTTATCTACTTAATTTAACTGTGAAAATTTTAGCATCTTTTTTTCCAAGATAAAATATATATAATATAAAGATTTATTTGATTCATTAAATTATTTAATTGTAATTAACATATAAACTCAAATGTTACATAAACATATTGATTGTTAAATAGAAAAAAAAAAGTAAAAGTAAAAGTAAATTTAACTTAAAAACTCTACCTTGGGTCACTCATGAGTATGTAATGAGGGTAAGGTTTTCTCTCTCACTTTAAAAAAAAAATGGTTCATTATTTGATGTTTGAGAAAAATACTAAGGAAGTGACAACATGGAGAGGCTAACGGATCACTGATTTACAACTTTTCTCACTTGTTGGGTTATTTAATTATAAATTTTATTTTAATAAAATTAATGAAAATATTATATACAATTTTAATACTTTTTTACAAAGGAGGCCTGGGTTTTTCAATACACCCAAAAAGATCACATGGGCCCGTGAGGCCCAGTTAATTAGTTTGCCTTATTTTCTTGCAGTTACAAATGTTTGCCAAGAAACTTTCTTTCTACACCTCAATAATTTCTCCCATTAATTTCTCCCATTATCCCCATCATTAAGTTAAATCCTATTTTACCCTTACATCTATCTTTGTAATTTCAAATTACACATTACAGAAGTGTGCTCTCGATCTACCAATCTAAAATACATGTTTAAAAAATCAATTTCAGAAATATATTTTAGAACATGCTTTTGGAAAACAATTTCCAAAATGTATTTTTGAAATAATTTTTCTAGAAACGTATCTCAGGATAGGATAGGTATTTCGAATTCATTTTTAGATTTTCTTTTTTAGAAATACAAGAGGTGTTTCAAAATATGTTTTCATAAAAGTTAATCTAAAAATACATTTCGAAGTAGGTGTTGCAAAATTCAACCTGATTTTTACAAAAATAATCTAGATCGAGAAGACTGAGTCTTAATATTCAATTTCAGTACAGAAACATATAATAAATATATAATATTAATTATTACTCATCTTTAAATATTGAAAATGATATTAAATGAAAGTAATATATATATATATAAAATAAAGGGAAGGTGTAGGATATGAGAGGTGCAAAACTTTTACAGGATATTTTAGTTTTTTTTCTTAAAAATATATGAAGGTGCAGGAAGAACTGGGCTTATAATTTATAACTTTATAATGTCAAAAAAATTCCAAAATTTTCATTTGGAGAAACATATATTTTAAGTTTTTAATTGATTTAGTTTTTAAAAGTAATTTTAGAGATTATTTTAAAAAATAATTTAAAAAAATTATTAAAAATATTTAACAAATAATATAAATAATCACGAAAAATCTTTATAAGAATTGAAAAATAATATTGATAAAAAATGAATGATTTAATATATTTATAAAGTGAAAATCTTGATATTTACAACTAAAGATAACATCTTTTATCATATTTTTTTATTTTTAATAATTAAAAACAAAAATAATTTTAAAAAAATAACAAATATTCATAAAAAAAATATAATTTTCAAAAACTTAAAAATCATTTTTAGAAACTGTTAAAAAAGCAAACCTTAGTTATCCTTACATATTATTTTTCCCTCGTTACAAAGTTTAATGGATTAAATATGGATTCTTGTTACATGGAATATTCACAATGTATGAATAATAATACCAAATAAATACATTAACGGACATGTTAATTTTATATTTGTAATACATGATAAAATAGAATAAGAAAGTATAATATAATAGGATAAGGAAATCATGAAATCGAGGAGAGTAAACTAGAATCTAGGTCGTTAAGTGGTTGGTGCATTCAAAATAACAAATTAAATAATGACAAAACATAATAAAAATTATACTTAAATGAAATGTTTTCATTAAAATTACATATAAGTTTCTAAAAAATGAATTTGAATTTATATTCATTTACTAATTATGACAATTATAAAAAGTATAGTTTTAATTAAAATATATAAATAACCTTTATATATATATATATATATATATATATATATAATTTTTATAGTATAAATAATTATATAAGATTTTAAGATTATAGTTAATATTTAACAAAAAAATTGAAATAACAATTATTAAGTTTTAATATTTAATAAAAAAATATAATTTAAATTCACATCTTAGGCTAACTGTAAATATAAATACATATTAGATAATTGTAAATGAAAAATATGATATAAATTATCATAAAAATTAATATTAAAAAATTGTACTGTTATTTTGTGTATTTAAATCATATAATATTAATGACTTAATTAATTTTTTCGTCCGTGGTACTTTAGTTTTGATCATTATTTTATCTCTTACTTCATTTTTCATTTTTCATCTTTTTATTTTTATTTTTTTATCTTTTAGTATCTATTATAAAAAAGTTTCAACTTGAATACTGATAATGTTATCATAATATTATTCCATTACATGTGAATAAAATTGTAAACTTATCATTGACACCATTAAAATTATTTTATTTGTGGGAAATAAAAAAAAGTAAGACTAAAAAAAATAAATATTTTTAGGAAATAAAAACAAAAATAATTATGTTGACTCATATATATATATATATATATATATATATATATATATATATTGAATTGCTTAATCAATTGTTTTTAATGTTACCACAATTTACAATGATTTTCATTTTATAAAACTGCAATAATGTTTATCATTTGAAAATTGATAACAGTCAACAAAATATAACTATTCGTCTTAAAATATTATTTACAATTATTATTTTTATTAATATAAAATTTCAGTTGTTGGATATATCAGTATCAAAATAAGTAAAAAAAAAAAAATCTGGAAAAAATTATTGTAACACAATAATGGTGTTATTTTCTTTCTACCTAGTTCTTTAGTGCTTACGTGACAAATCAACTATCACATGTGATTAATAAATCCATGATAATAAAATTCATGCAGGTTTTTATTTTTGACTTATTAATACATTATCGTTAAATTACTAATATTTGTGCGAAAATTATCTTAACACAATATATGAAAAATGACAAATAATACCATATTTTAGGACTAATATTTATGTAGATTTTTTTAAGAACTAAAAAAAATAGTTGTATTGTATCTAAGTTATTAAAATATGTTTAAGTATTTTTTTCTTATATATAATGTCTATTTGAACAAATTTTGACATGCTTGAAAAAAAGAAGAAGAAAAAACAGATTAGTTTTTCTAAAAAATTAAATTAACATATATAATTCATTTAAAAGAAATATACATATTTATTATTATTTTTTTAAAAGACTGTCTTGTAAGTTATTGGTATTAAAGGATTTTGTAACCAGAATTGTAGGATTTAAGTTTTAGCAATAAAAGAAAATGAGGAAACATAAAGCAAAGTACCAGTGCTTGAAATGGCTGAGCAGAGGATTCTTGTATGCCATGGAGTTATTGAAGAAAGTGATCCCGCAGTTGTGATCATGGAGCCTAGCAATTATTGTGACATACTTTGTACATTACAAACATTTACAACCATATATTCAACATATAATTATCTCACCTAAGTATAATAAACTTGTTATCTTTTTTTCTTTTTTCTTTTTAAATGTTCCCACAAATTATAACGTTTCAATAATTATTTACATGCTGTATTCAATGGGATTTTTGAATTTTTTTTTACATGAAAAAAGTCAAGTAAATTTTTAAAAATAATTTTATGAAATTTATAAGATTTGAAAGAATTTTATGGATTTATTAGAATTTAAAATACTCTGTATATTTTCAAAGGAAATTATAAGTATTATATATATTTACATTTTTTTTTACTGTGACTTGCATTTTTACTTATAATTATGTTACAAAATTATGCGAATTAAAGAAAGTTTTTGTGACAGTCTATCCTAATATTACTGTAAAGCATTAAAGATTCAAACAATATATCATATTAGACTATTATTTAAATAATAAATAATTTTGTTATTCATCATACATTATTCTAAGTAGATAAAATATTAAATATTTAATGATAAAAAACAAATTATGAGTGGTACAAGAATACATGCTCAACAAATCATTATCTTTCACAAAATTAAACTAAAATTATAAATAAGGAATTACAAAACAAATACCATAACCAATCAGAAAGATAATAAATAAATAATAAATTTTAAACTAATAAAAACTATAATAGTTTATTGATTCTAATTTATTGTCCTTCTGAATAACAATGCAATCTTTTAAAAAAAAATTTAAAATTCAAATTGATCACTAGTGTATCTCTCTGTTGTTACTATATGAGCGTTGTGGATCTCATTTTACCATTTAGAAAGCACGAACAAAACACAAGCTATTTACAGGTGGATTGCACTGTTTAAAAGTCAAAGGTAAGAAAAATAAAGAAGTCTTGCTCTAATAATAATGGAAAGTTCCACCGTACACTAAGAAAAACAACTCATCAAGTTAAGAATTTTTCTTTTAGGACTGTTTCAATTATTGTCACCTTTGACAGAATTTACTAATTAGAACACAGTTTTTGAGGTAAAGAAGATCCTTGAAATGTGAAAATGAAGTGCCATACCAAAGGGCGTTTTCACTTTTAAGTCGGTTCCTAACGTGATTTTTTATCATACATATGCATTCAGATCATGATTCCATCCCCAACTCTTTTGTTGGACTTGTTTGGTGTTAGATTTATCCATTGCTCTTGGAATTGCATCAAGAAAACTTTATTCTACAAACAAGCATTGCAAGACAACTGTTGCCACCTCCCTCTACCAATCCTCGACAAAATCTCATTTTGGCCTAAGAAATTTTCCTGTCAAAAACTTTACTCCTGTGTTCCTTCACGTGGTGTAGAATTTTGGGCCAGACAGTTTTTTACCACATTCTGGAATGTCCTTCATATTAATAACTATGGTTTTGACAACCAACTTCACGGTGGAAAACCACCATCAAAGTCCTGTCTCCACATGAATTGGATGATAGTTTATAAACCCTAAATTATAAACCCAAAACTCAATCATTTATTATATCCATCATTTCGATTTTGAAAAGAAAAAACCCTAATTATATCTACAGCTGCTATTTTAAATCATCTACCACTGTTTTTTTTTTTCTCTTTACACAAACTAATGTCCACAAAACATTTTCCTCTTATACCTTTAACAAGTCTTGCAGCAAGATCTGAGTTCTGAAGTTTGAAACACTGGCTGAGATCATACGGTCATGTTACTTTTCCTTTCTGTTTTGAAATCAGAACACTTATCTATGTTATGTTCTTTGGCATGTTAGCCACCAGTTGATCCATTACTTAATTAATTCTTTGCAACTTTTCATGTTCCATTTCCCCCCTCCATACAGTGTTACACTCCCCTTTTTGTACATATATGCTTATTCTTTTAAATTCAAACCTTTCTTAATTTATTAAACTATTGTGTTCCAAAATTGGCATATTTGGTGCTATGTGGTCATTAACGACGGATCACCATCACTATCTTCTATTCACATTAGTGGCAAGCAAAAGTGTTGCTTTACTTGAGAACGGAGACAAAAGCCAAGGTCAAAACCTTTTCATCACAAAATATCATTAAATTAATTGAATGATACTTAACTTCCAATATCAGCAAAATTTTAGTACACCATGTGAGTCTAGGGTTGGCCTCTGTTTAAATTTTAAACTCGGTATTTTCCATCAAACACAATAAAGTAGGTATTATTTTATTTGATAATGTAGTTAGTTGCCAAGGTGGATTTAACACTTCAAGGAATTAACATATAATTAGTTAGGTGGTATAAATTTATCCTTATAATAGCCTTGGTTTGTAACTTTGTACATACATAAAATAATAAAAGAAATCTACTAAAAAAAACACATCCTCATATTTTGAATATTCTTGATTCAAGAAAAAAAAAAATCCTAAACCCAATACTACTAGCTTTAGAGTGACGTGACTATTAATAACAAAATTCTTATACCATTATAGATAAACAAAAAAAAGTAATGAATATTGAAGAGATAGTTTTAACTTTATTGGACATTCATTTTTGTGCAAACAATTTTTGTTGTTAACGAAAGTCCTGCGTGTGAAAGCAAGAAACGGGAGTGTGGAAAGTGGACTCCAAATAATCACATGGTCCAAGAAAGAATCTGGTCTTAAATTTACGTATATAAGGACCTCCACAGGTAAAATAATGCATGGCATGGTCGTATAAAAAACTATGGCAATCTCTCTTCCTCTCCACCCTGCATAGATGCATACATAAAAGTTGAGGGGAATGTCATCTGGTTCGAGATCATTCATTCAAATCGATCTCAAACACATCTTTTCCGAGTGATTTCGGACCAGGCTTCATTCCCCTGAGCTACATGCTGATCCATTTCATTCCAACCTAGCTTACTCTCCTCATTTTCTTCAGCAACCTTTGTTTAACTGTAAAACAAATCCTCAAGCAACTGAAGAACATTGCAACAGACCAAATATTGATTTGGTTGAGAACTGGTTCAGCTAGCAGGAGCAGGTAGGCATACTCAAGTGACCAATATACTTTGTGTGTAATCTTTGAACTCTTTCTTTCTCTCATTCTCTGTCTCTCTCAGACTCACCAAAAGCTTTTTTGCTGAAAATAATGGCAAATGTGATTATTCCCATGCTTGGATTTATGTCCTACTTAATGAGATATTGCGCAATCACTGACTTTGATTTACAGCTGTTGAAAAAAAGTGTCTATATAAAATCAGTTTATGTTTTTATGTGCTCAAAAATTCATGGAGGACAACATTTTTGTCTTCATTTTTCAACTGCACTGTTTTTCAACCACTGTTTTACTGTACCATTCTAATCTTGCGTATTCGTTCTTCCTCTTCTTCACGTTGTTTGGTATACCTCGCATTCATCATCATCATCATCATTGCACCACCTTCTCGCCATGCTCCACCATGTTGATTTTTCGTCCATGAGGTAAGCACGCTCTCCATTATTATTGAATCACTAAACTGAAATACTTGTTTATAAGTGATTTTTTTAGCATGTTTGTATCAACTTACGTGGCTTCAGATATCTTTGTAAGTTCCAAGTCGACTGAAATGATGACAAATAGAGTGGTAGAAACCCCGGCCTTGGTGTGTTTGGATTTATTTATAATTATTTGGAGATAACCGGTAGAGGAAAAGTAAGATCTAATGCTTAGTTATATATACAACCTACATAATAAATATTGGTTATTTTACAACAGACATAGAAAATTTATTTTTTATATATTGTCTGAATCTATAGTAAAGAAAAATAAGAATATTTTACTCAATAGTGTAATTATAATGCAATCTCTTCCTCTACTAAAAATGAAACTTTGAATAAACAAGTTAATGTCATTACTACTACATAACATGACTTAAGCTTAGAGTCTGCCTGCCAGATATCATGTCAGATCTTTGTATACGCAGAAACTTCAACAATCGCATAATTCATCTTAAGTCCATTATGTAGTATTGATAAAGCTTGGTTACTTCTTTTATCTTTCGTATTCTATGTTATCAGAATCAGATTAAAATTAAGCTTGTGGTTTTTAATTTAGAAAATTCTTTAATTGTTATGGTCTTATTAGGAATCATATGATGATCAAAACTTGATTCCTGGCCTTACGTGCTTGCAGTACATCAAATCCCTATTGGATTCATCTGTTTCATCCTTTTCTTTTGGTACAAATGGAAAGGAAAAAGAAGTTTGTACGGTTATCCAAAAGCAATCTCCAATGGTCACACAAAATCAGATTCCAAGATTACTTGCCTAAGTTGCCAAGCAAGTTGCTGTTACAGAAAAAAAAAAATGTAGCTAACAACATTCACTTGAGGCAAAAGGCTTCTCTGGAGCAGAAAAGCTGACACTCACATGAAACATCACATGCTTCTGCAACATTCATTAGCCCTCCCCCACTTAAACCTGCTTTTGACAGATTGGTAGCATATAGTAAATATTCCATTAAGATTAACGTTCATTATGATCTAATCATTTGTTAGCTGTTATAAATTTCTTAAATATGATGTCATGGGAAAGCCATTGGATCTCACTTTCAAAACTCAAACTTTTGTTGTAGCACATCATCATCATCCAAAATGTCGTGGCACAAAGCAATTCTGCATGTCCAGTTTCAGCACTGTGAATAATCAGAAGAATTTTGGTTCTGACTCGTGTTACGAATGCTTGAATGGTGGATTGAATTTGTGGTAATCACCAAAGAGTTTCATTAATTTGCTAAGTAAACATGATATACTTACAATTATATTGTATTGTGAAACTATATATTAACATGAACTTTCTTCTTTAAAATGACATAAACTTCTTTGTGTAATTATTCCTATTTGTTTAGTCGCTTTGGAGAGTGAGTCACCGATACTCTCTTACGCTCTTTATTATATATAGATTTCACATTTAATGACACAAAAATATTGGTCATTTCACAAACTATTTTTACACTGTTTAGTGATTGAAATATATTTTGTTGCTATACCTAATTAAATTTCATAACACGTAATGACCGAATTAGCATCTTCTAATTAAAACTTATATAATTCAATCACAATTCGGTGGATATCAACAAAAATGTTTTGTAATTGGTATCATTTAGCAACAATATATGATTTTTTTTCTCACCAAATAAATTAATACCTATTAAAGTGGTCAATATTTCATCAAAGAGATCAAACACTTTATCACTGGTTGTTAGCAAATGATGCAATTGCATCACTAAACTCAGCAACTATTTGACCTTTTTGTCTTGTAGCAGAGTTAAATGCTTTCTCAAATTATTTTCATTAAATATATTAATTTATTTATTACTTTAAAATTTGTGTTTGTTAGTGCACGTGTATATTTTCTTTTAATTTATAACTACAAAAAAAAACGCTTATTATCTACGAGTAAAATCTGTAGGTAATGTTACTTTACTTACGGATTTCTTTCCATAGGAAATTCGTATGTAATTCGCTAGGTAATTACCTACTGGATTACTGAACTCACCTAAACAAAATATTTTTATTTACTAAAAATCCCCTCCCTTATTTTTTATTATATTTTTGGAACTTTGAATTATTATTAGATTAAGAAAATTGTCATTGGCAGGATTCAAACCCAAGCACTCGAGTTGGAGGCTGATACTCCAACCACTAAGCTTATTAGGATATTTTGATAATAACTTACAAATAAATTATATTTATATTTATCCGTGTAAATATATAAATATAAAAAATATATATAAATATAAATATATTTATATTTTAATATATTTATATATTTATATATTTATATATTTATATATTTATATATTTATATATTTATATATTTATATATTTATATATTTATATATTTATATATTTATATATTTATATATTTATATATTTATATATTTATATATTTATATATTTATATTTATGTATTTATGTATTTATATATTTATATATTTACACGAATAAATATAACTATAATTTATTTGTAAATTATTATTAAAATATCCTAATAGCTTAGTAGTTGGAGTATTAGTTTTCAACTTTAAGGTAATGGGTTCGATTCTTGCTAATGACAATTCTTTTAGTTTAATATTATTTACCTACGAATAATATCCGTAGGTAATGGATAATTACCCACGGATAAAAATCCGTAGGTAAATTGTACGTATTTTTATCCGTAGGTAATATTCTCGTAGATAATAGGGTTTTTTTTTTTTTTGTAGTGATTCCTTGTAAAACTTTCCACAAGTAAAAAAAAAATCTCAATCCATTTAATTATTGTGATGGAATAAAAAAACATTTCTTTAAATAGTAAAAATAACTTTACATTAGTAAAATATTATATGAATAAATTTTAAAATCAATTATAAACAGCTAAAATAATGTTCCATTTTAATCTGACAAAACAAGGCATATTTCCTAGTACAACTTCCTTTAAGAAATGAGTAGAATTGCAACACGAGTTTTGAATTTTTGTTTTTTTTAGAGTTTAGATTTCATTATAATATATATATATATATATATATATATATATATATATATATAATTTACCTAAAAATTATGTATTTATAAGAAAAATGGGATGATTTTTATATTAGTCCAACAAGACAAAAATATTTTCTTTTACATACGTGTATACCCATAGGTACATGTGCATTCACGTATCAATTTTATAATCTATATTTCAAACAAATATAATTAATGATGAACAGCATAATAGTATATTTTTGAACACATTTTCGTTATTAATTAATATTTATTAAAACTTGTAGATTTATGAATGAAAGTTATTATATAAAAAGTTGAATTTGGATAATTTCATGAGTTTTAATAAATTTAAATGAATAAAAATATATTTAAAGAGGTTGAAAAAATGTGCTTGGTATAACTAATGACAAAGACCAGAGAAATGAAAGACTTCATTAAACAACTACAGAATCCATCTTAAAAAATAAAAATAAAGACAAAGTCAAAAGACACAAAATCCTCCTTCATTGCAGCTCCTGTGGTCTCTGGGTCTTTGATTTATGGGAGAAATGCAGAAAGGTAAACTAAAAAAAAATAGAAACTCAAAAAAAAAAAAATAATACAAAACTGAGTCTCATGCGCATGTTATTGTAAATTTTTTAACTTTTGATCTACTTTTATCTCTATTTATTTATCAAATTAATTACTCATGCAATGTGAATGCAATTAAGATGGTTTTCACCCCTCACCCACCTCAAACTTCTTCAGATTATGACGTCAAACCCAGTTCAACACAGATCTTCGTAGCCTTATCTGTCGGGTTGGTGTTTGTCGTCGTCTTTCATTATCGTCTGAAACAAACTAGAGATCGAAAGATCATCCCACGTATAAGGAAATCGCGCGGAAGCCATATCCCAAAGCTTGAAAGATTCTCCCATTACGTAGGTAATAATATATGTTTTTATAAAAAAAACATCTATTATACACATGGATCCGCAAACATGTATCATTGGGAAATTATGTTGCCAATGGTATGTTGTTTCTAAAGCAAGAAAACTTGAATTGGCTTGCATATGCAAATGTGGTTGTATTGTTTAATGCAAACATTTTCTAACTATTCAACATTTTCCTTAATTATACAAAGTTCTCTAATTTGTTGCAGCTAGGCAAATGGGGTTCAAAGACAGAAGACATTGTCCCCATCTATGTAGATTAGCTTCTGAATACATAAGGAAATACGAGGGATTTGAAGATGATATATACGCCTTCTTTGAGAATGAACCAGATGCCGATTCACTTTATGTGAAACTGGTAGAGGAGTTTGAGAGATGCATTCTTAGCTACTTAGGATTCCATTGGAACTACGGTGACACAATTATGAGTCAGGTATTGGGGTGCTTAGTCATTTAATAATTAATATAAAATGGCTTGTCTGTATAATACTGGGTAACCATATTTTTTTCTTTCTTAATATGCAGGTGTTGAGCTCGGAAAATGAGCCAAAAAAGAGGCTCAAGCACATAGTTATGGCAGCAACTAGGTGTGTATTATTTGTGTTGTTATTTATATAAAGCATCATTAAAAATGACGCTGGGATTGTGTGTTTTGGAACAGGAACAGAATATAATCAGAGAATTTACTTGTCATTAACCTTCCATTTTCTAGTGAGCTCACTTTTTTCTTGAATTCATACATTCAGTTGGTTCTTTACAAAAGGGCCTACTAACATTAATAGCCTCCACAAGTACCTATTTTCCTCACTCTTCTCTTAAAAAATTATAAATATTTTACTACACAAAAGCTTTCATATGTTAGAATATAATCCAAACTATACTGATGTACATGTCTTCCGTTTAGTGTTCTGGTGCATGACTGAATACATAAACGCTTTACACATTTTAGGCTTAAAGGAATAAATAGTTTTTGTTTCTCACGTAAAAGGAAATATTCAAAACCTCTCTTCGAATGAGAAGACTTTAAATTTAAATGGTGTTGCTTTTGCAGGTGGTTCAGAGCTGGATATTTGATAGTTAAATGATTTACAATTGTCATTGTTCTTAGAGAACCTACAATTATATTAAAAAGGGTTGCTTCAGCCTAAAATTTTTTCTGAGGTAAATATTGTTTATTGCACAGGGAACAAAGGTTCGAGAGACTTGCCAAAAATCTGAAGGTGGCTAGAGTTTTTAATACATTAGTGGAAGAAATGAAAGCGATGGGAATTGCTACAACTGATGACTCTCAATGTACAGAGGTGATGGCTCCAGTAGCTCATAGCGATAGGAGTCCAGTGCTCCTCTTAATGGGTGGGGGCATGGGAGCTGGCAAGAGCACTGTGCTCAAGGATATTCTCAAAGAGTAAGTCTAAGACCTTGTTTGTTTACTGTTTATTTCTGCATTTTAAAAACATTTGTTCGTGAACAAAGTACACTAAGAAAACATCTTTTAACTATTTTTTTTTCAACATTGTGAAACACTTGCTTTGAAAATAATTTTCAAAACTTCATAGATATTTTATTTGTTAAAATCAAGATAGTTAGGGAGAAACTTCTGTGTTGCTCTATATTTTTGCATAGTCTGGAATTGCAGTGAATAGATGCTACAAGAGAAAATGACTGCTCAATAATGTAATATTGTTTTAGAAACCAATCTTTCAAACAAAAGTGAGCAAATAATTAAACAACCTTTAGCTCTTTATATTGAAGAAAAATCACTATCTTGATTCAGTGCACATCCCTATCTTTAAGGTCGAAGAAAATTAAAAGATTAATAGGCTAAGTGGATAAACATGGCTAGCTAGCTAGCTATACATGAGGAATGTGTACGTAAAAATATGAAATTATCTACGTTTTTTAGAAAGAAAGTTCATGCATGTTTGTTTCCTTATTTCAAACATAATTTGTGATACCTATAGGTTTTAATTCATAGAGTATCACTATGAATAAAGGACAATATGACCTAATGATGTTTCTGTGTAAATGAAATTTGAACAGACCTTTTTGGGCAGGAGCAGCCGCGAATGCCGTAATCATTGAGGCAGATGCCTTCAAAGAATCAGATGTCATCTATAAGGCCCTCAGCTCAAGAGGTCACCATGACATGATTCAAACAGCAGAACTGGTTGAGACTCTTTAATTTTCTACTCTAGCCATTAGAATTATTACATGTTATGTAGCATTATTCAATTCCAATTCTTTTGTGATGGTGACTATTTTAACTCCAAAGTGATTTGTATTGCATTGTTTGATTTATTCCAAACAGGTACACCAATCATCGACAGATGCAGCCTCATCACTCCTTGTTACAGCATTAAATGAAGGACGAGATGTTATTATGGATGGCACACTCTCCTGGGTGCCATTTGTTGTGCAGACAATAACAATGGCTAGGAATGTTCACCGTCGCCGTTACCGCATGGGACCTGGCTATAGGGTGAAGGAGGATGGAACTGTGATTGAAAACTACTGGGAAAGAATTCAAGGCGAAGAGCCTGAACAAGTTGAAGGCAAAAAAAGAAAACCATATAGGATTGAGCTGGTTGGTGTAGTATGTGATGCTTATCTTGCAGTCGTTAGAGGCATAAGGTTATATTCAACCTTTCGATTTGACATTCTTACCAATCACAATATATTCTTCAATTCCAATGAACATTGATTGTTAGTTCCACTTTGAAGATTAACAGCCTAGACTTGAATGTAAACAGGAGGGCCATCATGTGCAGAAGAGCAGTGAGAGTAAACTCACAGTTGAAATCACACAAGAGATTTGCTGAGGCATTTATGACTTATTGTCAACTAGTAGATAATGCACGACTATACTTCACAAACGCATTGGAAGGCCCACCCAAGGTACAAATTTCCCTCTTTTTATGGACAAGGAGGAGTGCTTTTCTTTGACAGAACTAATATTTCGAGACATCAAAATTCACTTAGAAGATGATATCTTTTAAATTGCTGTTTTGTTGTATGCATGGACATGTACTGATCGAAAGGAACAATATTATATAGTAAATGACAAGCTCTGTTGGACACAAAGGAATTAGATGATATAAAGTATTTAACGTCAAACTTCGATGCAACAAAATATGAATGTTGATATCAATGCATTAATCATTTCATTATATTGTCTTCATGGCTGCTAATTTATTGTGCCTTCAACATCTATTACTGTTACTGACCTCATAATTGTGTGGTAAAGTTGATAGGATGGAAAGATAGAGACAAGACACTGCTTGTTGATCCAGATGAATTCGACTGTTTGAAGAGGCTTGCCAAGTTAAACGAAAATGCCAACTCCATTTATGAACTTTACAAGCGCCCGAACCCAGCTTGTGAAGCTGGATCAGTATGGAAAGACATTGTATTATCTCCTTCAAGGTTGAACATCCAACAGGAGCTCAAGTATTCAATCCAAAAAATTGAAAGCTTGAAATATAACTTCGCCATGGAAACTGATGAAATCATTCAACCTTTGGGTTTAAGTTGAGGATCGGGAGATGAACCATTAGGCAAGAAAAGAATGTTGCTAAAATCTGTGACAGCAAAGACTCCATGTTTTAGCAACCTTGATTACTTTTACATGTATAAACTAGCATTTAGAGTTAATCTTACAGGATATTTTAATTTGATTATCTAACAGGAAATTGTGAACAGACATTTCCTAAGAAGCACTTAATTTTCAGATACAATTTAATGATGAAAATGATAATTCAAACACCCTTTTGGGGGAAATTCTTTTATTTGAGAGCCTTTTATTTTATTGAATTTGAAAATATTTAGAAAAACTATGACACACATTTTCAATGTCAGAGTCAGTAGTATGGCCCACACAATCCCAAAGTCCTGAACCTGAACATAAACCTAATGGTAATGGAAACCAAAACAAGTTCAAAGTTTGGCCAGAGCCGTCGGAATTTGACACTCCCAATTCACAACCACATTTTGCAGTTCCTTTACGTTTTCCACGTGCTTCCTCTCACTGCCTTCCATGCCTAGCTTCGCCCCACACTCCACTTTTCCCGTCTTATTGTCTCGTTGATTATTCACAGTAAAAGACAAGTAATTAACAACCATATTATGTAGGTTTTCTGCACGTGTTTTCTTCATTGAGGTGACATATACGCCTTGTATCCATTTAAGAGTGGGAGGTTAATGACTATGGGGAGAATGCAACCAGATGTAATGTCTGGGAGATGCACTTAAGGTTTTTTTACTCTTTAGGTGTGTGAAATGGAAATGGTCTTTATGAACTTAAGGGAGACGAAGCATGGTGTTTCATGTTTTGTAATCTTTCTCCTTTGCCTAGGGACACTGTTACCTATTTACTTGCTCAAAGGCAAACCATAAGCATTCAATTCAATGTTTCTGTTCATATTACATTTCCAATTTTGTTTTCTTCTGTTCATTACACATGGTGAGAAAAGAATTTGTAGATGAAAGTTTTTTTTTCTCAAAATATAAATAATTTAAAAAAGAAATTCTATTTAATTAAAAATATTTTATGCTATTTAGACTATGTTTGACGTGTTGTTTAAATGAGTTATGAATTTTTCATTGGTCATGCTTGTTTAATTTTATCATTAGTAATTGTTTATTGAATTGATAAAAATAATATATTTAAAAATAAATTCTTAAATAAATAATAGAATAAGTAAAAGTATAATAGACTCAAAGTTTACAATATTTTAATAAAAAATATTTTAAACTTGTATTTGAGGTTAAAAGGCATTCACAATAATAGTCTATATGTTATAATTTTCACATAATATTATTATATGACAATCATTAATTATTTTTTCTTTATTTCTTTATCTGTTAGTGGAATAATTTTTGGGAACAAAGATGATAATTGTTCTGTATGACTTTTTTTCATATTTTTTTTAATAGTTTGTAGCAGTTTTATATATACGAAGTAGCATGTTTTCAGTATGTCCGTGTATAGCATCTACCTTTCTATATTTTCCTTGAAATATTCATTAAATTTACATTTTAATCTTATAATACAAGATTTTAGAATCGTCTTCCTTCATTCACAAGGCATGCTTTATAACTTTCATCTTCTTCCTCTTACATAAAGTATATTTTTTATTTTATTTTATTTTTACTAAATAAGATATTAAGAACTACAAAATATTAGTTTTTTTTATTTTTTATTATTTGGATACTTCATATTTTACATTTTTTTTAATTATTATATAATTTACAAGATTTATTTTACTATTTCAGAATCATACTTCGAGATTTCAATGTTGATAATGGTAGATTCATTTTTTTTTCAATATTTTTTATATTACACAGTATATTTTAACCATGAAAGTTTTATATTTTTAAAAAAATATTATATTTGAAGATATTTTATCTATTACACTGATCAATATAAAAAAAGTGTTATATATATATATATATATATATATATATATATATTTAAATATGTTCTTTTTGCTTTATTTCAAATTTGAATAGAAATATTATATATAATATAAGATTAATAGTAAATATACAATATGAAGAAGCATTTAACAATTGAAAGTAAAATAAATGTAATTAAAATAATTTGTATATAAATAAAATTTATACAAATTTAAAAATAATTAAAATTATAAATATCAACAAAATATATTTTATCACTGAAATTAAAATTCATATAAAAGTTGTATAAACATGCCTAATTATGTAATTTTACGTTATTTCATTAAATACTTATTATTTAATGAATTTCGCTAATAATTAACAATTTTCAATTATTAGTTAATTTTTCAAATTTTGAATAGATTTTCAACTAGCTTTATCAACAATTGTTTTATTCATATACATAAATATTCTGATGTATTTTATATTATTTTGAGAGAAATTTTAAATCATATAATTATATCTAATAATTCATATATTTATATCATATATAAAGAGAATTTATATTTTTTTATAACATATGTTATCACTTATCATAAAAAATTTATTGATAAAAAGAGAAGAAATAATAAAAAGAAAACACTTATAATGATATTATAAATTTAGAAAAAGAAAATAAAGAAGAAGACGTAGACAAAGTGGAAAAAAAAACTATAACACGTAAAAAGAGAAAAAGAATATTGTATAATCGTTTGATATTATTCGAGTGTTATCTGTTTTTGAGTTTTTATAATTCATTTTTCTTTTTTATATATATTTTATCTTCAATAATACATAATTTTAAGAATAAATATTTGTAATTTAAATTTATATGTATATATTAAATTCAATTCATAAAAAAAAAAAAATATAAACAATGCGTTCACCGACCTTTAATTGTAACGAGAAAGAAAAGGTCAAAGAGAGATAAATTTTTGCATTGCTTTAATTTCTAAAAGGAGGGACAGTTGTGCCTGGCCCCGTATTTTGACGCAGACAAGAAAATGTACTTCGGGCATTTAGTATGTATGGAAATCGGATATAATAAAAAATTTAAAATATAAAGGTTGTCTTAAATCGTTTATTTTTTTAATTGAAATAATCACATCCATCTTGTATCACCATTATTAAAGACATTTTAATGGTTTTTGAAAAATTTTAAGATGAATTGTGTGGTGTATTGAAAAAAATTATTTTGATATATATAAATTAATATCAACAATATAATAATTTTCAATAACAATTATTCTCTCAAATTATGTTGAAATAATAGTTTATTTCCTACATATTATATTATATCTTAAAATGAGCGATTGAAATTTCAAAAGATGCGATTGAGTTTAGTGCCAGCCAAGTATGATTATATATATGTTTGATTAGAAGAAGAAAAAATGGAAAGTGTGTATTTCCTATAAATTATTAAGTTACCCTTACGATATAGTTAGAATTTTATCAAAAAAAATTAAACTAGAACAAAAATTTTAAAAATCATGTCTACATGAATAGCTGTTTTATTTTTTTTTAAATTAAAAATGGCATTAAAATCATTATTAGAAAATATTAATAAGCAATATATATATATATATATATATATATATATATATATATATATATTCTAAATTTTGTCTTTTCAATACTTTTTGACAAGCTTGTTGGGTAGGGGTGATGTATGGTCCCTGTTAGCCTAAATTGGTCGTTCTCCTTATTTTTATCATGACTTGTGATTGTGGAAAATTTATTCAACCCTCCCATGGGTGATATGACATGACTCATCCTTATCTTTCTTGGATTGACCCAGAATAAATTGGTTAACAGGTTGCAGAGGTATCAAACATTTAAATATAACATATTATATTAAATGATTTTAAAAAAATTATATTCAAAGTTAATAATTATAAAATATTAATAAGAAAAATAAATAATTCTCACATAATACTTTTAGAGTATGTTTTTAAATATTAAAAAACTATTAAAAAATCAAATTAAATTTGTTTAACTTTAGATAAAAATGAATAAATACCTATTTTCAAATGGACTATAAGGTTTTGGATTCTTTCTAATTACCAATGGCCACTTCCTTCCCAGTTTCTTTCACATCATTTTCTGAAATTTTCTTCTTCTTCTTCTACGCACACTTCAAGAACCAGCCTTATATAATTATACATTAAACTTAGCAAGTATCATGTTATTCACGTGTTTGTATCATATATCTACTTAAAAAGTCAAATAACCAAACAAATATGAGTAATATTCAAAATGATGTGAAAATTTTCTTAATATTTAACTAAGAATATTTTTTTTATAATTGACTAAATTAAGAAATATCTGATATGTTAGATAAGACTAATTAATATTAAATAAAGTCACATCAATGTAAGACCTATTAAGAGAACAAGATAAAGGATGTAAAGAAATTTCTTAATTTTCGTGTTATATATATATATATATATATATATATATATATATATATATATGGACTATTTCACTTAAAATTTATTATTCTTAAATTAAAATCTAATATAGACGTATTAATATAATTTTATAGAAATGTATATAATTTAGACCATAGGCCAATAAAGGGATTAAAGGAAGTTATGATTCCTAAAAAATAATCACTTTTAAAATTTATTTAAAAAATATACCATGATCTCTTAACAAAATATGTATATATTAGTTTTATCAGATTAAGCTTGTAATCCCTTCACGTATTATTATAAATTGACAATTGTATAGATAAAAAATATCTATTGATATAATAATAATAATAATAATAATAATAATAATAATATATCCTACTTTTATATAATGAGTATTTTCTAAATGTGCATCACAGCAAATAGTTAATGAAAGGGTAAACATATTTAACATCTGCAAATTAGTATATATATATATATATATATATATATATATATATATATATATATATTAATTACCACTTTTTATATTTTGTCTGTTTTTTTTATTGTTATAATTTTTATAAAAAAAAATCTCTTAACATATTTCAAAATTCAAGATAGTTTGAATTATATTTTACTAATTATACTTTTGCATTCAAAATTAATAGATGCGTTTTAAATTAATAAACAGAAAAAAAAATATCAAATTAGTTTATACTTTTAATAAAACTAAAAATATGTATTATAGCCATTAATATTTAGATAAAGAAAAAAGAGTTTTTAGTTCGATGAGAATTAATAGAGAAGTGACAATAATTTTCTCCAGTCCATCAATGTGGTGTCAGACAGCAGCTAAACAAAGAGACCGTATATCCTTTTATTATAATAAAGTATGATTGTAGGACGACTAGGACGTAAAAATAGACTTAAACTGAAAATCAGAAAAAGAAATTAGGATAGATTACAAAATTTATGAACTAAATTTCATTAAATCATTTTTAATATGGTTATTTTTGTTATGATAGGTTTAGGTTAGATCAGTTTTTTTGTTTATATGTTAAATAGTTGTATAAAACAATAATAAATTTTTAAATTAAAATATTAATATTGTTAATATATATATATATATATATTATAAATTATTTTGGTAAAATAATTTTTTAATTTTAAGAAAATATAAGAATAAATTTTTAATATTTTTAATTATTAAAAATAAGTTTTTAATATTTATTTTAAATATGAATACATTTTTTATTATAATTTATATATTAAATTGTATAAAAAAATAATTTCGTTAATATAATTTTAGTTTTAATAATATATTTTTATTTTTAGTTAGTTTATATAAATATGTTATTTTAAATTTTTAATCAGATTAAACTTCATTTGTTAATTTATTGATTTAACCTAACATAAAATTATATTAAAAATTATGATCATTTTAAATTATATGTTAAAATTTATCATTAATTTTTTTACTTTATAAAATTAGGTTAAACGGTTAAATTCTCTTGACAACCTAACAACCATCTAAACAATCCCCTACTCAAAATAATATTGTAGTTATTTAAAATTATCAATTAAATGTTTAGAATTAAAATGTCCATAACAAACATAATTGTAAAAAAAATAAAATATTTACGATAATTAAAAATACTTTATTTACATCGCTCACTTTTAATAATTTTTTGAACTATTTTTAAATTTTATTAATTATCATACAAAATACTCTATGAAAATAATAAAATGACTGAGAGATTACCTTACCTAGTAGTCAGAATTTAATCAAAGAAACGCTGACTTTTTTGCACCTCATTCATTTAGTTTCAGGCAATCACGTTTGAAGCATTTACCTTTTTGAGACGGAAACGATTTGATTTTGGAGGCTTTAGGCATCGTTTGGTGCAGCAGAGAGTGAGTGAAAGATAAATCACAAATTTTATGATAAAAACTTTATAAATTGATAATACAAAACTACATAGTATTTTTGAAACCATTGATTAGCTATTGCTTGTCTCTGCTATGTGTTGGTGTCTCTGCCCTGATTTAAGTAGTTTTGATGGTAACGAATGCATGTGATCCTTAGGAATAGGGTTTTTAGTTGAGTGTTTGTGCAGCAGCACGGGTGGTGGTGGGGGCCAAGAATTTGGAGCTTTGACGCAATAGAAGGAGGCCACACATTGCAGTAGGCGTAGGTAGCAGCAGCAGCTACCCTTTGGGTTACACATTCTGATTTCTTGAGTCAGAGTGAGTGAATGAATGAATGAATGTGTATTGCATTTAAGACTTGTTTTATTTTGGTAAGACCGCAATAAAGGGTGCAGCGCTGAGTCTTCCATATCAGGCCTCCCATTTCATCGTCTCATCATCCCAATCCTCAATTTTACTGTTCTCTTCTCTCCCTTCCCATCAAATCAAATCAAATCAACCGTCTCTATCTCTCTATCTCTTTCTTCCGCTCCGCGTAATCAATCATTCCCACCTTCATCTCCCCGTGTTCCCATGTCACGGAAAAGTTTCTGTAAATAAACCTTTTTTTTTTTACATCCTCTTTTCACACGCATTCACACCAAGTTTATCACGATTGTACTAACTACGCAAGATGACTATTAACACGCACCTTGATATGCTAGACATAACACAGTTTCACATATATTATATTATACCTAAATTATTACACGATTCATGACACCTGATACCCATATATCATTTTCCTTTTTATTATGTTCAATTAAAACAAACAGTGAACTAATCTTTAAATATGAAAAGCATTGGATAATTTTTCTGGTTTTTCCCAGTCTACAAAAACTTACAAAAGTCTATAATTTAGGTGTAGATGAGAAATATCGACTTCTGCGGAACATTCAGCGTAACCACAACAAGTGAAAATTACTCCTTAACTTCCCCGTTTGTTCCTACTCAGCAAAATATTCCTCCAAAATCCTCTCTAAAATGAAAAATTAACTTCCTTTTTAAATGCCTTCGGCCTACCTTTTTTCCTTTTTACTGTAATTATTGTCTTTGGTTTTATTCTCGAATTTTGCGGTATTCTCTTTGGGTCAATCGTCGATGAAAATACTTGGTCGTATTTTCAATTTTGTGTCCCTACTATAATCGAACTTAGATCTTGGTCGAATTTACGTATCGTCACGCACTTACTATTTCGGTAAGTTTTTGACATTTTAACTGGTAATTACTTCTAAAACTCTATGTAATGCAATATTTATTATTCTATAATAATATAATTTTGTAGCTTACACGTGATATACTAGTAACGATAGGATGAAATAAAACGATAAATAAGAAAAAGTGAGGCGGAAGAAAAAAAAAATTCCAAATTTAGGAAGCAGAAGATAATAGCATAGCACTAGAGCGTAAAGTTGTCGGCGAAACCCCAGACTGTCCCCGCTCCTATTTATATCCAAACAACCCCTCTCGTTCTCATCCCATCCTTACCCTCTCACTCTTCTCCCATGCCTACCCACGCGCTTCCAATCCCCAAACACTCTCCGCCGCCCAAGCCCAAAGAGGCCCATTTTAGGGGCGTCCGCAAGCGTCCGTGGGGCCGCTTCGCCGCCGAAATCCGTGATCCCTGGAAAAAGACCCGAAAGTGGCTCGGTACCTTCGACACCGCCGAGGAAGCCGCCAGGGCCTACGACACTGCCGCCAGAACGCTCCGTGGGCCCAAGGCCAAAACCAACTTCACCTACGTTGCTGCTCCCGCTATGCACCTCGCCACTCCTGAATCCCAGGTCCAGGCCCAAGCCCAAGCCCAAGCCCGTGACCCACTCGCCAGAGCGGTCGAGTTCTGGGCCCCGCCTTTGTTCTTCACCACCGATGCAGCTTCCGGCGCGCCTTTGAGGTCGGAGTACAAGGGTTACAAGTTGGAGAATATTGCGGGTTTTGTGGTTACGAAGGAGGAGAACAAGAAGCCGTTGTTGTTCGACCTTAATCTGCCGGCGCCGCTCTTCTGAAACAGCCGGCGGAAAATGTTGGCGGCGAGGGCTTGGTTGTTTTCTTTATCTTGTTATCTTTTGGATTTGTTCATATGACTTATGGGTGATACTTGGCCATCGTTGTGATGTTGTACAGTCCAGTTTATAGGTTTTGTGCACCATTTTGATAATTGCGGTTGAAACCCGCCGGTATAACTTCAAAGTTGTCTTAACTTTTGTTGGTGATTTGCCACTTCTATCCTCAACATGTTTCTTTTTAAGCCGAAATATAAAACATACAAATAAATAAATCGTAATTTATACATTACCATTATACACCTAATTTCTTTTAAAAAATAACTGATACTGTAGAAATGATTATATTTGCATTCTAGGTGTTTGATTAAGTTGATGGGTACTTCGAATATTCTTTCTTAATTATTTATATAGATTTATGTTTTGTCACCTAGAATCTTCTTTCACAATTATCCATATAATTTTTTATTTTTAATTACAAAATATTATTACTTATTATAAATAATAAATATCTTCTGACACTTTGAAAATTTATATTCAATATTTTCTTTTTTTCATAGACTTTGATGGCATTCTTCAGTTACCTTAAATTTTTATTTTCCGCACTAAAACATATTACAAATTCCTATTATTTTATATCTAATGAATAATTTATATTTTTATTATGGTTCTTAGTTTACCACTTCAGTAACATAAATTACTCTTCATCTTATAGTAAGATAAGTAAAGAAGATCAAGGTTAAGTCATTTTTATATTTATTTTAATAAATTTAGGTTTTTTAATAATTTTTTAGATGAAATGTAAAGTTTCTTTTTTGGTATTCTTTCATCACAGAAAGCCTTGAAATAGTCACTTCTGTGGTTCACCCAATGAGTGGGGATTCACTGTGCATGAGGCTCCACGTGTCATATGCCTGCACTTACAAGTGCCAACAATTGAATCTTTTATACTTTCTGTATAAAATAAACAGGTGTTCGAATGATTTTTTTTTCTTTTTACTGTTTTTAGAGGCTTCAGAATCTTGGTATATAATGTTTACTTCTTATACAATAAAAGGTGAAGTCATCATTATCATTTTTTAAATAAAAAATTATTATTTTATAAAAAACAATTAAGTTTCTTCTTATTTTTTCATTAATACAACTACTTTCATTAATATTTGTAGGTGAAGCTTGGTATGCAGTAATAAATGATGAATACTTTCAAAATATTATTGTAATGCACCTTCAGTTATTACAAAACAATATTAGCATCTACTTTGCATACTTATTTTAATAGTATTATTTAAAATTTATGAAACTTGTCATCGATTCAATAACTATATATGATCTCCAAAAACTAGCACTATACATGAAAATTAAATCAATTGTGCAGGTTAATAAGTAAGTATATCAATTTTCGTTTTTAATTTCACTTTTAATCTACAAACTCCATTTTTATTGATGAAAAATTATTAAGCAATATTACACATGTTTGTTAGTGTTCTTCATCAATCTTTTATAACAATTTTTCTCGTATGTTTTGAGTCAACATCATGTTTAATTAACTAAAGTATAATAAAACTTAAAATAATATAAGACTAATAATATGTTTAAGTTATTGAATAAACTTATATTAGAAATATACATAGGTTAAATTGGATTTAGTTTAGTTAAACCTATCTATTAAATTAATAAAAAAAAAAATCGAGTTACGTTATATCAGATTTTTTTTTTGGGACTTAGATCAATTCAATCCACTCTTATTAAATAGGATTGAGTTAATTATGTCACAACTTTTTTAATTTTAAAATGTTTTTATTAGTTTTTATTTTTTTAATATAGATTACATTATTCAATATTTTATATTTTAAAAATAGATATTTAATTAATATAATAATTAAATAAATTAAAAAATATTATTATTATTATTATTTAATAATTTTCATAAGATATTTTAGATCAAATTGGATAGTTGAGTAGCCAGCCTGTAATTGTTTGATATGTAAATGATATAAAATTTAATATCTAATGATCTTTTCCATCAAAATGACATATAAAATTTGCATCTAACATATTTTAACACTTATATAAAGTATTTTGTTAACTCTGAAATTTGAAGTAAAACCTCATTTATTTTAATAAATATATAAAATAATTTGTTTCATCATCTAATAAACTTCGTTTATATAATGAAAAATGATTAAGTTACTTTAAAAACATCAACATGGGTTTTGTTCATGGTGATAATTTTCCTAATTAGGCCTTTGATTTTGGGCTAGGCCCATTTTTCGTTGACAGACACTTACAATAAAAGATAAAACAAGAAATGCAAGGCTGTAATCCTATGAACTCAAGCAATTGATGTAATAACCACTGACATTTCATTTTTAAGCCATTAAAATTTGGAAATATTCTACTTATTTTTTTAACTAGTCACTAAATATTCATAAATAAATAAATACTTTTTGAAAATATTTTTCATTTTTCATATTTATCTTATATTTCAAACATATCAATATATATTATTATTTAAAAACAGATTAATATATGTATATATGAACTAAATTAAATTTTAATAATATACTTAATATGAAAAATATTACGAGATTAAAGATACTTTTAAGAATTTTATTTGAATAATTAAACTGAACCTTTCATATATTTAAAAGATTAATCATTTTACTAAATTTTAACAATAAAATAATATATATATATATATATATATATATATATATATATATATATATATATATATATATATATATATATATATATATATATATATATATATACTAGCCAATAAACTGTAGTTGGTTTTCAGTACCATTCTCTAGTATTGACTTCCGATGAATCCAAAAGTTTGCATTCCTGTTCATCTAGTGCCAATAGTGGGACTTTATACATGAAAGAGCTGAAAAATTCACACCAATCATCATCAAAACGTTGAAAAGTAAGACTATTCATCTTAGAATACTGTTAGAGTTTCCTTTTTATCAGGTGAATTTTCTTACCACTTTTATATAGGTAACTTCTTGATAACTAACAAGCTTTTTTGAAAATTCCTTCAGAAAGTTTATTCACATTTTACGTTTGTAGGTAACTTCTCCATGGATTCGAAGTTCATAGGAAATTCATTTGAAATGGTCACCACAGACCCATGCCCTAACATTATCATGTATAATAATTTTGTCATCTTTAGGATTCAGTACAAGCTTTTACCTAAGAATGATCAGAAACAAGGTTGAATGTTTTGAGTCCAAAATCATCAGTTTAAAGCTTGTGATACTCTGCAGTTTGCTTCTATTTAATTTGTCTTGTTATCGAAATAAATCTATCTTATAAAATGTGGTTCAAATTTTATTTTCAATGAATCATTCTCGTTACATGGAAAGACTAACATTTTATTTTCTTCCAAGGAAGAAATCACTTCCCTTGTGGCTCACTCACATGCAGTGTTGTGCAACCTGCACAAACGGAAGAGACACTTCTATAATGAGAAACAAAAATTTCAATGTTGAAGTTTTCCATGGCCCTTACATAAATCTTTTTATTGTTGAGTTCCTCACTCTACAATTTACATAGTTTCATGGTCCACAACAAATTCAATTTCAAAAGTAGATTCTGCAAAACAACAGTTGTTAGTAAAGATGACTAATTTTTTACATGAAGATTACTTAATTGACCATGAAAAAACATTTGAAAAAAAAAAGAATAATTACCAATTAGTTAAGTTCTAAGAGATTATAGACACTGTAAACTACTACATTTTTAATTTTAATCATCACCTTTCATTTTTTTTTTATTAACAAGAAAAGAAAAATTATTTATTACTTACATTACCTAAACATGAGTATTTTCTTTGTATTCTCCAGAAAGAGAGACAAAAGTGATGATCAATAATTTTGTGGTTGTTGGAACGGTTGAAGAGGTTGAGCACAGGCAGACACAAAGTAGTGGTTGGAATAAACATTAGGCCAATGAAATATGGCCAAGTGTAAAACGTGTACCTAAATTGCTTTGACTACTCACTGTACTCTCCGCTAACTTGCGCCTTGAGTGAACTGTCTCTTCCTCATCAATATTAAATCACTTACTTGTATCTCTAGGTAGTAGAAAATATGCTAGAGCGACATCAATATTAAATCAAATACAAATCAAAATATTGTTTCTCCTATTAACAAACTTTCTTGAACAACTATTTTAAATATAATATAATATAAATTCAAATTTATTGAAAATTAGTATTTCAATCTTACAATTACTATCATCATTAATTTTGAAATTTATAAGATTTAACCTTAACAATTAGTAGTAAATAATAAAATTACAAAATCTTAAGAATAATATTTTGAAAGTAAAAGTTAATTTTACTATAAGTTTTTTTTATAGTATATAAATAGTTAACTAGGTACAAATATGTACAATTAATTAAAATAATTATATAATTTTTAATTAAATATCATACACTTTATATAGCCTTATTTTATGAAAAAAAAAAGACAATTTTAACTAGAAAAAATATTTAAGTTATTTTTTTAACATTAACATTATTTTATTTATATACATTAAATTGAATGGATATTTAATATTGACATACTTTTTATATAAACCACTCAGTTAGAAAATATATAATTTTAATATAAGTGATTATATGAAAGATCAAACTGATGTTTTTTTTATTTAGTTTTTAAAAGAGTAATGATATATAATATATATATATATATATATATATATATATATATATATATTTTTTTTTAACTTCTAAATATTGAATTTGACACCAGTGTTTTGGGCTGGCAAAGAACAAATCAGGCCTTAGCATTTTATCGTTTCAAAGATCTTTTATGAAAACATTTGCAAAAGTTACAATTTGTCACTGTTAGTTAGAAATAAAAATAAATATTTTATTATAATATTATATATGATTAACTGAAAAATATTAAATTTATTTATATATAATTTTTTAATTTTAAATAATTTTCTTCAATTTAAATTATTTATATATATAGATTTATAATAAAATATTCGTTTTTATACTAATCAACTTAATTTTTGTTGAAAGATTGTCTTCTTTTATGAATTTACAAATGCAATACTTTTAGAATAGACAAACATGTGTCGATCGATTGTCGTATGTTCGTCTCGATATCTTTAGGTCCAAATTAAGCAAACTATCAAATTCCAAATCCAAAGTTATCTACCATGTCATATCTATGATCAATTAACAGTCTTCCTTTGCAGAGAACCTGCAAATTTCTGAATGGACTCAGATGTCGGTTTCTCTGCCAAGTTCTACATTTATCATATGCTAAGGTATTATTATGCGCGAAAGATTTTGTTATTCATCATCTTGATGGATCACTTGTCAGATTAAATTGTGATATACGAAAGCAAATAATAATTTCAGACTTCGACATCTTCATTTCTCGTTTCGAAATCTTTACAAATTTATCTTATATTGTTATATCTTGAAAACAATAGACAAGTTCTTCATATTCTGAGTTGTAGTTTCTTATTACCAATGCCACACCCTTAGCCAACACGTAGTCATAAAAAAAATTATAATACTTGCAACTACGTGTATACACCCGTTGATTAGTTGTCAAATTGTCATCCTTCTTGAGTGGAACCCACATCACTCAAGTGCCCCCACGGGATTTCATGTACTCGCTGGCATAGCTGATCATGAAGTAAACGACAGCTAAACACTTCCTTTTTTTATTTTTATTTATTTTTTTATTATTATAACACAATACCTAAACGACACCGTTGATACCCAACGCAGTTTAGGAACATTGACAACTTTCCCTGAATCTTCTTCTCCTTCATTGTCAATACAAGGAACACTCTGTGTATCTACAATTTCATTCAATTCGATCCGATTAACCTTTCAAACTTTCAGATTTGAATTATTCCAGATGCGATGTCCTCTCCGTCTTCTTCAGTGCCTCATTACAGTTCTCTCCCCTCACCCTCATCATCAGTCTCTGGTCCTTATTTTATTACTCGCCCTGTGACATCCACGCCTGCAGCCTTCGCCATACGCAGACCATGGGAAGAGGTATTCGCCCTCTACTCTTTCACGCGACCTTACTCCATCAACGAAGCAACTGTACGCGTGAAGCGCAACCTCAACCATTTCCGAGTGAACTACTTCATGATCGTGCTGTTTGTAATGTTCCTCAGCCTCCTCTGGCACCCGCTATCTATGATCGTGTTTTTGGTGGCGCTCATCGCATGGTTCTTTCTCTACTTCTTTAGGGACGAGCCTGTGGTGGTGTTTGGCACAGCCATGGACGATCGAGCGGTGGCGGCCGCACTTACTGCCGTGACAGTTGTGGCTCTGGTGTTCACCCGGGTGTGGGTGAACGTGGTAGTTTCCGTTGTAGTTGGGATTGCGCTGATGGTGTTGCATGCTGCCTTTAGGAGCAGCGAAGATTTGTACATGGATGAACACGAGGGTTACGATGGAGGGTTGCTTTCTTTCGTTGGGGCTTCCCCTACAAAACGAACTGGAGGGTACTATTCTTAGTATAGGTCACTGTTTCATACATTTAATTTACCAAAACATTAATGCTACACCATGTTTTTTTGTTTTGACTTTTAAGAATTTGGTACAGTGAAATTAATGTCTATTCATTCTAAAAGGAACAAATAGGAGAAATGTTATGTTATTTATTCTTTCTGCCTTCTTCATGCATACAACTTTTCTCTTTTCTGGGAAGGGTTTGTAAAGTTTTGGGTTAATTGAAGGTTAAAACTTCAAATTCTGTATTTTGAGGTCGAATTTTGGTGTATCATTTATTAGTTTGATTTTGACATGTTCTTGAAACAGGTAATTCATGTTGTTATTGGGTAAGAATTATTATTATTTTATTTATTTATTTATAAAGTGAAAATGAAGGTAGCTTTTTAGTTCCATTATTAAAGGTTACATGTATTTTTTTAATTAATGTCTCATTCTTTATTTAGTTTATATCCTAAGAGTAGTTGAATATTGATAGTAAGTTAATTTTCAACATGAGTATAGTAGGAAGGGTCACAAATCCATCAATAATGATATGCCCTAGAAGATGCTGTTGGTGATACTTGGGTTGTTTCTGTGAGAAAGTTTTCTTTTCTATCTGTTTGTTCATTTCTGCAAATAGGTTAAATAGTTTACTACTATAATTCTTGAGTTTGCTTTGGAGGGAAAGGGTCTGATTCTTTTGTTTGGAGATGTGATTGGCATGTGTTGTCTTTTCAGTCCCCATGTGAGAAGAGTCTTGAAAGGACCAAACATTTGAACAAATTGAAGCATAACGAAGCCAATGTTTTTCACTACTCAAATATCTTGCTTATTAGATATTATGATATCTATGTTTGTCAAAATTTAATCATAACCTTATAAATGAACCACATCCATAAGTTTTTTCTTAGCTGTATGACCATTGTAACCTAAGATTGATAACATTGTTTGATAGTCATTGTCAATTTGTTATCTGCTGATAATTAAGCTCAGCTGTTAGTAATATTTTATTTTTTAACATTATTTATTTAAATTTATAAAAGTATATATAGATATAACTATTGGAAGTGTATTAAATGAGAGTATTATAAGACTCTTTATATTAAAATAAATAAATTTTAAATATTTAAAAAAGTTATAATTAAGATTTTGTAATTTGAATTTTGAAGGATTTACAAAATATAAAATAATATTTAAAATGATTTATGAATTTATAAAAATTGAAAATATTTTATACAACTAAAAAGAAACCACCAAGTATTCTTTATGTTTATAATAAACATTTAATATTTATTTGCCCTATGTTGCTCTAAGTTTAAAATGATAAAATATTAAGTATTCAGTAGAAGAAGATAAAGTATGTGTAAAAGAATAATATATGTTTACTAATTTATTATCTCTGATAAAAATAAATTAAAATTTTGTATACAAAATTTTAAAACAATTACCATAATTAATAAAAAATAACATATAAATTACAAAAATTTTATTAAAAAATATAAAATTAATATATAATGTATAATAACTAATTTACTATAATTTATAGTAACATATTATCGTCCTATATATATGTGCTATTTATTCACAAGTTATTAATAAACCTTTCCATCCTTTATAAAACCAAATAAAAAAAACCCTTATTTATTTATTTATTATTATAACCTATAGAAATTTATCGTAAAAAAAATATAACACAAAACAATAAAAAAAGTTAGATATTGAAAAAATGTTTGAAAATGGGAAAGAACGACAATTATGTCATGGGATCGAGAAAAACTTAATGAAAAAAAAAATCACATATTTGAATGAGATTGTTTCATAGAAATAGTATTATATGCATACAAATAAAAAAATACATAAAATCCATAAAAAATCAATAAAAAATTAATTATAAACATGATTTTGAATTTAAGATTCAATATTTTATAGTTTCAATTAAAGCATAATTTTTTAATGTTTTTTTTAATGAAAAGATTAACATGTGAAACATTCTATGTTTATAAATGTAAAATATCTCAAAAACAAAAAATTACAAGAGGATATATCCAAGTAGATGAAACCAGTTTCAAAACCTATATGTTCAAAATTGAATATCATAATTTTTTTATATAGAAAAAAATCTTAAAATCTCAATTTTATATATAATCTTTTTAACCAATATAAATAAATTACTTTTATATTCTTAAAAATATTGTTTAACTTCATTTAAGATAATTTTCATATTTTAAAACAATATCACTCTCATTCATTTTTATTGAGATGGTGATTTAAGTGAAATGTGATAATATTTTTAAAATAACCATGCTAAATCAAATTGAGAACATTTTTTAAATAATACTTGATAATAATCTTACATTCTTTTATATATATAAATAATTATTATAAAATTACTGGATGATTAAATCCGCATTTATCTATTTTTGATAAATTTGTTGGTGAATAATTTAAAAAAGATTTCATGTCAGTAGATTTTTAGATAGCTTTTATTTATAATTTTTTATATATATATTCCTTATCTTTTTATCTCCTTAGTGTTTAATGAAAAAAAATCTGATTATCCCTTTATTTAATAACATTAATAGTAAAAAAATTTGAATGGATTCATATTAGAAAACAACTCTCGAATCATTCTACACCTATCAAGAGAGTCTTCAAAGGTCATTTTGGTAATAAAAATGGATGAAAAAGAAAATAAAAATATAATTTTATGTAAGAGAAATATAAACTATATATCCTGTATTATTTGGTAAAAAAAAATGGCGAGGATAGAAAATGAATATGAGAAAAAAGAAAAATAATGTGAAAGTTTAAATTAATAAAAATATAATAGAAAGTTTGTAGATATATTTAATTAATTTAATATAAATGAAAATGAACTTTTAGGTGTTTTTTTACACATAAAGTTTAATTATATTTGTGTGTCTTTAATAAATTTAAAAATATAACTCACAAAAATCACTTATGTTCATGAAAAAAATTTATAAATATATAAAAAAATAATATAATTTTAATATTTAAATTTGTTTTAATGATATACATAGTATTTAGTGTTTTGGATGATCGTAATATATATAATTTTTTTATATGAGAGTCATATTTATTTTATTGTTAATTTTCTTTCTCTTCCTATCACCCTGGGGATTATTACTACATGATTTTGGGTCTGTTTTGAAAATAAAAACAAACATTTCTAAAGAGTACAAAGATTATGTTAAAATTAATTTATAATTTAATTTTTAGAAATTATTTTATGCTTTTCTTATTTTGATTTTTAATTTATACATAAATTACTTTTTGTGGAGAAGTTGATTTTTTTTTCAAACATACGATATATCTATTAATTGGTTTTGGGTGAACTTAGAACGTAAAGAAAAAGATAAAAGTATGATGCATAAATAAAAGTATAACATAATATATCTTAAAAAAAATTAAGCTAATAATAAATTTATATCATGAGTTTTTATTTTAATTTTAACAATAAAATTCTTAAAGTTATATCTGTTATTATTTTTAATTGACTTACAGTGAAATTGTTTTTTACAATAATTTGTTTGTCAAGTAAAAGAGAAAAATAAATATTATTTTATATATCTCTTCATATTATTACGTTCATAACAAAATTTAATTTTCGCTATTTTGTAATCAATTTACCTTTTCATCTAAAAATAATAACAACTGTTTTCTATTCTGTTATATCAATTTCTCTACCTTTTTTTTGTTTTTTTCATAACATGTCAATATTTTAAAATGTCTGCTACAGTTTTTTCTTTCACTATTTTTGCTTATAAATTACATTAAGCCTAGACATGATAAAGTTATTTTACTATTCTTTATGTTTTCCTTTCACTATATTTCTTAAATAAGTTTATCATTTTTAACTTTTTATATTTTTTTAACAAATATAAACATACACTTAGCAAAAAAATTCATGAAACTCTATAAAAGTTTATAGTCAAAGCCTGAATATATTGCTTATAATTCCAAAAAAATTGAAATTAGGAGATAAAGAATGCAAATAAACCTTTTTAATTAATTTGATCGATTATTACAATCTTGAAAAAGTAACTTGTTTGATAAGTTATAAAGATCATTTTATTTATTTTAAGAATTAATTTTTAAAGTCGTTACAATTTCAAAAATTAAACTGATCAATAATATATAATGATAGAAACTATTTTATTAATTTTAAAACTAATTTAGATAATCCCAATAAAATTGCTTATAAAATTTATTTCAACTCAAACAACATACTTAATTAAAATTATCATTGGAATATATGACCTGAAATTATTTATGTTTATATGGTAAGTGAAAGATATTAATGAAAAAAATTAAAATATTAATACATAGGTTCAATGTAGGATCCATAAAATAAAATCAAATACTTTTATTAACAATATTAAGATTGAAGTGGACTTTTTACTTAAAATTTAAATCAATGTAATGTTGTAAGAAACAATATTAAGATAAACAACTCATATAACCATCCATGTATTACTCACTCATAAACATTTTTTATTACCATGTAATCAGTAATTAATTAATTAACTTTCATACTGACTATTAAATGTCCTTGCAAAAAAATTCACATTAAAAGTACAAATAGCAATTAAACTCTTTTTGAAGTCTTGCTAAAATTAAAAGAAAAAAAAAGGATTGAATGTATTTCTACTTTTTGTATTTTTTAAAAATTAACTTTAATCATTGTATTTTAAAGTTAATAAATTAATCCTTAAATTAAAAAAATATATAAATTTAATTATTTAATCAAATTTATAATAATAAGAAAAATATTACTTAATATTAAATTTAAATATAAAAAATAATTCATATCACGTTAGTCACTTTTATAATTTTGTTAAGATGAAAAATCATTAAGTGTTAAATTTAAATATATAAAAAAACATTTTTAAAAGTTAAGTAATCAAATTAATTAATTTAAATATATAAGAAAAAGCTGTGAAAAAATACGAAGAAAAAAAAGTATTTTTACCAAGACTTAAATTATAGGATAAAATATTTACTTTAGAAAGGAGAAAAGAGAACGCAAACAGATCCCGAATAAAAGAAACGATAGCATGGTTTTTGTGCACTGATGGAAACATACAGACCTAACTTATGAACGAGCAAGAATGTTTAGAACGGAAGTTTCGCCTAAGTGTCAAATTCTCAAGAAGCCATCTCTTCTAACCAGGCATGGCTTCTTATATCTAAGTCACATGTGCACTCCAAATTATTGGAGTAAAGCGAGTTAAAAAAAGAAAATGGTCTTGAAAAATGAGGATCTAATGAAGATTACAATAACTGCCAGATCAGGATGCCTACATTAATGAACAGAAGAAGGGTATGTTTCAATGGAGAAAATTTTGCTTTATAATTTATTTGGGCTATCTTATCGTATCCTCCACGGTGATGATGGTAAGTGACTATGCTATGAAGAAGATTTTCCAAGTATGAACGGGGTAGCATGCTCAAGGGTGTGGAATCTTCCGAGCATAAGCCAAGACCATGACAAAATCCTTTGCTGAAGACCCAATAGTCGCTGGAATTCTGTGTGAAGTGGATGCTGTATCCAGCCACAACTCAACCAAATTATAAAGCCGCAATGTAGGGAGCACTGATTGTCCCATACATTTAATCTCAACCTGCAAAATCAATTAACTCAAAAGAGAAGTCACAACAGGCATTTTTAGCAAAAAAAAAAAAATCATGTAAAGAGTAATGTAAATTCAACTTCCATGGTTATTGTTAAGTGCAGTTAAAGTTGCGACAAATGGGAATTGTTGCTTATTGTCATGGAACTATGCAAGTGTGACAAGAGCTTCAGGACAATCAAATTGTTGATGTTTTGGTACAGCAGACAACAGGACAACAAAATCTTTCAGGCCCAGTTGATGTTTTTTGGATGTATACAAACGGAGAGAGTTACCTCTGTTTCACTAGTCAAGTCCAGTTTCTTCATTAGGTATTTTTGGATGAATGAGACTGGTACGCTACCATCCCTGTAGCAAACAGAAAAGACATTATATCATTTTCTACTTCAGCTAGATATCTACATTTTAAGAAAGCTTTAGCAGCAGCATAAATAGAGTGGAAATAGTTTCTCAAGCATAATTTTTGTCTCGTATGAAATAGCTAGTTGAAACCATTTAAACTAGATACAAAAAGCCCATAAACATGGCATAAATGTATTACACAATCAATATATCCCATTCTCTGCTATCCTTGTTAAAAGCCTGAACTTTGATTCACCCTTTAAATGCTCTCATTTTCATAACCAACATAGTTGATATATATTGAAAAAATCGAAAATTTCTTCCTTGGCTAATTTTGTGTAAATGTAATATGACTACAAGGATTCTTTATTTAAGAAGTGGAAAAAGAGGAGTAATATTTTTTTTTAGTTTGTACTTGGAAGAGTTTATATGAAAATAAAGTTTAGATAGATATAAATACACCTTGTTCTAATTCCCCTGGCTACTAGAAGCTAAAAAGAAGAATCTCAAAATCAACACATTAGAAAAGAAACTAATCTTGACAAAATCTACCTAGCCTAATATTTATCCACACATAGATAGGTCCCGATAAAACTTGAGTTTTCATTTTTATTTTTCCTAAACTATGCTAAAATAGCTCACATATATCCTTGATCTGTACAAATTCTGACAAATATATTAATCATCTTATTATGTTACCCACCACAGCCAAATGGAGTAAAGAAAATAAGAGGTTAATAAAAGTCTATACTAAGTAAATATAAACAAGAGGGAGTTGTTGAGACCAACTCCCAAACCCTAGTGAGTGATCTTAAGTAAACTCAAAACTCTAAATTGCTGAAGGGTGAAATCCTCCGGTTGCGGAAGACTTCAAGATGACAAGACAGATTGTCTGTGTTTTGAACAACAACAATTTATTTTAAAATCAACAAAATGAGAGGTTACACAAGTACTTTTTTTATATAATTTTTAGCATTTAATGATTATTATATATCGTAATAAGATGTTAAAAATATTAAAATAAATTAAATTTACAATTCCTGAAGTTTGTTGAGATTGCACATAATCTCCCTCTTTTTTTAACATTCTAGACAACTTCCTTCATAGAAAAAGGAGAGTTGGTAAAACAAGTAATTTAGGAGAGTTGGTATAAGGGTAGAAAAAGGAGAGATATTAGGCAAAATTTAAGAAAATTAGTATCCATGTAGTTTACTCATAATATTATTCTTCTTGATAAGACTTGATGGAAGGCGAGGACATGGTCACTATTCTGAAGCATAATTTGACAGAAGGTCAAAGTCGTTGACTCCTTTTTGCTGTCATTCAATATGTTGCTCAAAACTTATTATATGGAGATAGCTTGTCTGAGATAAATATTCATGAATATTTTTCATAGAGATTCACATAAGTAGCACTCAGTAATATGATGCTTCAAGCATGACATTCCTCTTATAAAAGCATGCAAAAAATCAAAACTAAAGTACTAAATAAAGACAATACGGGTAACTGGAGTTCATTAAAACTTACTTTATTCTCACATAACTTGCAGGAATTTGAGGCAAGGGTGGTCCATCTCCTTCCCTGAAACAGGATATATATAAAACATATATAAATATCCATAGGAATTGATATTATAAGTCATTTAGTTTCGAAGATTGATATCTCACTGGTTTTCAGAAGCTACTAAGGAGAACCAAATTGGACCAGTCCTTGAGAGTCTACTACTAGTGGCAGAATCCAGTACAGCTTGGGGTGATATGCTTGATTCTCCAGAAGCAGGCTCCTTCTTCTTGCGCATTCTGCGCAATTTATTAGGTTTTGCTGTATCTGAAGAGAATGGATAAGGGCTAATCTTTTCATCCTCAACTTTTGCCTTACGTTTATTTTCCTTATTTTTAGCTTTCTGCACTTGAAAGTCGCTCTCATTTACTTGAGTGCTTTCTAATTTAGCATCAGACACTTGCACATTAGACTTGAAAGATTTACTCCTACTTGCGACCTCTACTAAACAATTCAACGGTTTCCAAAGATCCAATTTTGCATCCCATAGTTCGGCACCATTCTCTGATCCTTTATTGGGTGCGGATTGACTACCCTCACAAGGGGACATACTCTGCACCGGGAAAAAATTTAAGCATAAGAATCTTAGTATACTAATGGTCCTATAATCCAAGAAATCAAATGAACCGGGATCAAGAACTTGAAAAACGGAGACAGAACAATACATAACAAGTTCAAAGATAAGAGTCAGATTGTCTCTCCTACTACCTGTCCGGAATTCTGAGCAAACTTATTTGAAGTGTCAGGTGAGCTTGAACTCTCAGGATGATCTTCCAGTAAGTCTTCCTCCTTTTTAATGGGCTTTTCAATGGAAAAACTAGTGGACCGCAGACTATTAGCCTTTCTTGAAGGTTTTGTTCTTCTTCCTGTCATTGTTGCCTGTGCAGATACCCTTGGAGTGCTGACCACCAAAGACGAAAGAGATCTCTCCTTTCTTCTAGCTGGAAATGGTACTGAGGGCACAATTTCAGGTGCCTTCACCTTTCTTCCCTTTAAGGGAAAAACTTTGGCCCTTACATCTTGCAAACTGTGGTCTGGCCTGGTAATCAGAAACCAAAGTCAGTAACCTAGCATGCAACAATCAAAAGAGAATATCAACATAGTCAGCGATGTGGTTTTGTTTTATTGTATTTTTCAAAAATGTTTGAAGTGTGTTTCATTACCAAAACAAGATATATGGAATGGTTGTGTAAGTATTCATTAAAAAAATCACTCTTCCTGGTCTACTTCTTTTCAGATAGTTCAGATTACTCTCTTTGTTCCCCTGATCTACAAAACTCATCAATGCAATTATTCTAAACCCTATTTTTCTTTATCCTAGATCATCACATCTTTCCGGAAGTCCCACACTATTTCTCTGTTTTTTTATGATAAAGTTCATTTAATACATCAATTTTGGGTAATACAACAATTAAGGCAAACACCGCAAACAATAACACCATCACTTGGAATAGAATCAAATGATTTTAATTTTGAAGACAAAGGAAACTAATAAATTTATATTTGAAAATTCTCAATTAAAACAAGTGCTAAATCCCTTCTTGTTGTATCAATTATCTCAGTCATTTTATCAGTCAACAGCATAAGGACTATCCTTCTCTAATTCCTCCTTGCTCCGTTTCCAACTGAGTTCAAATGAAAAATTATTAAATGCAATCAACAGGAAAAAAAAAAAAACATAATGGTTGCAAATTACAATTTACTGTTACCTTAAATTTTTATTTATCAAGCCTGAAAGACTTTACATTTATGACACTATATATAAACATATGTTATGTCTGCCAGGAAAACTATTCAAAATAAAGTAATAAACTACGAGCATTACTATATGTATATAATCTACTAAATTAGAGAGAGATGTCAAACTGAGGGCATTTAATTATTTCCCTGTATACTATATGCATGTATTAACCTAAACAAATTTGTCATGCAGGTAGTGGATCCTTCTTCTGTCAGTTTTCATAAAGTAACAGATTGATATAAAATTATCTTGATAGCACAACAAAAGCATGAACGGTCCTCGTTTTTGCAGGCTGTTGCAACAGCATAATACCACCTAAGAAGAAGATCAGGTAACGGTAGGGTCTATGGCAGCTATTTGTTTCTTTGGTCCCAACCAGTAGGGTGTTTCAAGACCAACAGTATTCAAAAGCTATATAGCATATGTCTCGACCCATCAACAACATTATTCATTTTCAAAAGAAAGGTTTCATCTTGTAGAGGTGTATCTCCATTTTAGCAGCCTTGTAAGTTGTAGCAATAATTAAGGAGTGGGTTGCATATATACTCTTACTACACTGCATACCACGTTAAAGCAACACCCTTCATGCATATTGAACAACTTAAAGTATAACAGAGAGGCATTTCGTTTTTCTTTTTTCCTTTTTAAAGGAAGAAGTACAAGAGTATACAAGGGTGACTTGGAATTCGATCAAAGGAAGGGACTGACCTCAGTTTCTCGAGTGGAGCACCACCCAAATCAATATTGCATATTGGACAAGTTTCCAATTCTTCATCCGTAATTTTATCATAAATGCACTTCCTGCAAACTGAATATAGTCCACAGAAAAAGTAAAAAAATCTATTATTAGTTTAGTTGACACACACAACAGGCGTTGTTTATAGCTTGTACTGGTTAAGCAAAAAAAGAGCATGCAATGCACAGATATCAAATTAGACCAGCAATTGACTTTAAAGGACACATAACAAACACCAAGAGACAATTATTCCGCAAATGCAAGAACCAACACAGTAAAAATATTCACGCTTCCTCGACCGTTTGTATTGTGCAATATGCATGCAGTGGGACGAGGATTGAAGCTTCGTGTATACAAGGACGCAGTTTTACTAAAAAAAACAGTGGTGGCTGTAGTCAAAAGTTCAAACACCTTTCCACCAAGGACATTAATGGAACAGCATAATCATACTGTGCGAATGAAAAGCAGGCTGCTTCTGCCCAGCATTCACGTCCTCGAAGGGTATAGTTAGAGAGAGAGCCCAAAAGAAAATAAAATTAGAAAAAAAAATTAAAAAACAAAACTTTTATTGGACACGTCAAATTACGAAATACCCATATCTCTTTCCGGTTACGCAAAGTCCAGATGCTCCCGCATCAGGGCGTAGAGTGAAGGAAGAAGCGAATGCAGAGAAATCGGAGAAAAAATTGACACGGATTGAAAGAGAGGAGGGCTCACACGTGTGCAGACATTCGGATATGGTTGTGGCTTCCCTGAACAACTTGTTGCAGAGTGGGCAAGTCATGCATGCTACAATCGTGTCCCTCCGCACCTTCGGCACCTGATTCGACATGCTCCTTAATTTTCTTGCACGCTCACACGAACAACTCTCACACGCTTACTCCCTGCATGCTATCGCCACGCCTGCACCTCCCAAATTTACGTCCATTTCGTGGCAATCACCCTCTGCATTAAGAAGAAGAACGCGCCGTGCGAAAAAGGGCGGAACGGAGAAGGAAGAAGCGCGTGGAAATGGATGGAGCTGTTGGTAACGGTGGGTATTGCAGCAACAGCGATCGGTGAGGAAGGACGGAAATGGGTGAGAAAAGGGAATGGGTCGGTGAGATTCGAGAGGATTTGACGTGGGCTATGGTGGATTTGGTAGAGGCAGTTTGTGTTGCGTTGTGGGTGATCTGAATCAAGAGGGCCTCTTGTTCGAGCATGAACCGAAACCGAGTGTTTTTGTGTTTGTGTGTTCTCTCTGTGTTTCTTCTCTATTTCTTATGTTTTTTCTTTTAATTTTATTTTATTAGAAAATATGGACAATTCAAACAACATATTTTAAGGACATATGTTCCACACTTCAACCAACGACAGCTAGACGAAAAAATAAGGACAGCTACAGAAGTTAGGGGGTTTGATAACGTGCGCCTGGGTTAGGGTGCGCGCCGTTGGGCGGCGTGTCATGCGGGAGGGTCCATGATAGTGGATAGGGGTGAGTAAGTAAGGTTCGCTGGATACGGCAACAAGTGGCCATAAAAACAATGTATTATAACACCTTCGGAAGTTTAACTTCCGATCTTATCTCTTTCGAAATCTAAAATACTGGGGATGGGGTGTGTTTGGAAGGTGTTGGATACCTTGAACCTTGGTTCTAAGGGGAGTCCTTTTTTTGGGGTACATTATATACATTTTTGGTACATGTAATGTATGTAGGAGGAGTCCTTTAGACGAATGTTCTGTCACATTTTATCGAAATTTGATTACAATTGAATGCACTCTCTATCTTATTAATTGAAATTTGTTCAAAGTTACAAGATTATACTAGCTAGATTCATGTTCTATTTAATGAATTTTCTGTAATCTTATTTTTTTATCATTTTTAATTAATAAGCTCATTGTACATTACTAACACTCCTTAAATCGAGGTAACCAATACTTTTAAAAATTGAACTGGTATATAAATATTTTTACTTTAAATAATTTTTTAAGCGATGAAAACTTATACATGTGACCAATTTAAAAAATGTTAACTTTCTAAAATTCCAATTTTATTTTGGTCCTACCAAAACAACCAGGCAACTACCTCATTTGCAATATCATGTTTATAATATTTATTTTATGTTTTCAATACTATTTGGCATTTAAACAAAACGAATAAAAAATTTAAATTAACTAAAACCTTAAAAATACAATTACATGAATGTTATTTTTTCTAAGACTTTATATAATTAAAATAATTATATAAACATGTATGTTTAACAACCACTTGCATTGAATACCTAAGATTTAATATAGATTACCAACTTTCAACTAAAACTTTTCACTTAAAAATTATTTGTATTTTTCAAGCAACTAGTCAACTATTTCTACCAAACAAAACCCAAAAACATTGTTGCCACAACACACATAGCCGAAGAAACTACCCGTCATTGTAAAAATGTTATTTATTTAAAAAAATTACCCCAGATTATAATCATCCTTTCATAATTATTTTAATTTTTAAATTTGAAACATTTATATTTACTGTTCCACCAAAAATAAAATCTTATTTTATTTATATATTTTAGTCTTTGATCGAAAACTTATATTATGTAGAATCATAAATCTTATCTCATTTGTATTAATATCAATAATAATTTATATATATTATTATTTTCTAATCCACAGAACAGATTTTTAAAACAAAACTATAATAAATTAGAAATTCAACAATAACAATACCTTAAATATAAAAATTAATCATAATAATATACAATATTTTAAATATAAAAATTCATCATAATAATATTATTAACTAAACAAATTTAATGATGAACAATTTAATATTATTTATTTAAATAAATTCAAATTAATATTTGAGTTTATTAAAATTATCAGATTTTTCACATCAACAATGATGATATTTAAGTGAAAAATATATTTTACAATAAACATATCAGACATTAATTATACATTATTTTGTGACATTTACCTATTTAATAATATAAAAAATTAATTATACAAGAGTACTTATTTTATAACTTAGCCCATTAAATATTTTTCAAAATTATGTTTTTTTGTAATGTGTCATTTGCTTCGTGTTGAAGGTTAGTTTGTTAGGGATACGTTGTCCCATCTCTATAATTAAAGAATAAATAAAATTAGGTGGGTCAGTTAGGCAATTCACATTCATCAAACCCAACAAAAAAAAAAAAGTTACTTCAATAAGCTTTGTCGAGGAATGGAAGTGTAACAAAGGAACATGTGATCTTTGTGTTTATCTTATTTGCAAAAAGGTCCTCACCAATCAACCTTTTTCCTGGATACTCCGTTTCACATCTGAATGTCGGGTTCAGACCTCAGAAACCCTGACCCATGCGCATTCAGTAATTGAGACCTGTGCATTTTGAAAAAACCATGCATCTCGAGGTTAATCCATGTCAGAAGTTAAAGTTTTTGGAATTTGAAACACTGATTTCTCTTATTTTATGTTAATCTTAATTTCTTAAAGTTCACACCTCACTTTCACACCGTGTCCATGTTTAATTGATGGTTAATATAACATGATTACCGGGGAGAAATGCTACCAATGCTTGTATCTATCTATCTTCAATGTTTTCACCCATTTTTAATACTAACATCTATTGTAGACATCATAAACCCGTGTATAATCATTGGATTCAAAGTGGTGGACATAGCCCAAAATTCAAAAAACTGTCCAGAAACAATGATAAATGGATAATAATTATATGATTGTAGTAATTGATAGTTGCATGCGCATCATCAATTGGTGCAGTAAGAAGATGGACTCCGAGCAGAACTGATTTGACCGAATTGATTATATTAAATCAGAAAGATAACCTAGTTCAACATAATGAACTTTGACTTTTCAAAAGAGGAAACTTGCTTTAAAGAAAAATAAAAACATAATCTTAATTTGTTCACTTTTTAAACACGGATATATAACAAGAACAAAAAGATATAAAACTATCAATGGATTTTACAGCATATTATTATGAATATAATAGTGAATGCATTCCATCTTGTAACAACCATTTTCTCTGAATGCTGTAGTTAATTATTTACAAGATAAAACAAACTATTGAGAGCATAAAATAAAATTAAAGAAGAAATATAGTATTATTTCTAGGCAACTTTTCACTTAACCTGGTGTCTCCAAACATGCATCTTTATGGTTTCATTTTTCAAGACCCAACAAGACCTTTGCGTCTGGCATAAGATACTATGGACAAAAACAATGATGCACAAACCATTCCCGCAAATATCACCACCTAAAATTGTAAAAATTAAATTGGAAAAACAAAATCAGAAAAAGCTATGTATATATGCTCTGTCTCACACACACTACCTATAGGAATAAATGTTGATACCAATCTCTAGATATTAGAAAAGAAAAATATAAAAACAAAAACTTTGAGAGTCTTAATAATTTTAAAATTATCTAAAATATTGTAAATGATTAAACCTATAAAAAAATAATACCACAATTATTTCTATTCTCCTGAAATCATAATCCATACACATAAATGGGTACAAGATTTGAAAACTATTCTCTTATAGTTGCAAGTGCACATACATACCCATTTAAACACATGTTCGTGACCAGTTGCTTTCCATGTGTATGGTATGTTCATACCAAATATTGCAGCCACCAATGAATATAAGGACATACACACAGTACCGGCACTAATGAAGAGCTCTAGCTGTCCCCAACAAAGATAGAAAAGAACATAGCAATTAAAGACATCAATCATGTCATTGGTAATTTGAGGGAATAGGCAATACATGCATAACCTCATAAGGAGAAAACAATGGTCTTCAAAAGCTTATACCTGAATCAGCTGATTTCGGTGATTATCAAGCTGCATGCATGCGTGACAAAGAGTCGTTATGCTATAAATGGTGCGTTGAAATTCTGTTAAAAAATTCTAAACTTTTACCCCCTCTAGTAAGAGTTACAATCCACCAAGCACTTGTGACTAAAATTTACCTGTATGTTGATGTAATCTTCTGTGTCGTCGATATATTCTCGCAACTGAAATGAGAGAAAGTATCAAAATGGAGAAGTTTATCAGTTAAGTGGTAAGGATCAGAAATCAAGTAGAAATGATTACAAGAAAATGTAGTTCATACTGTGGCCAATTTATTTAATGTGCCGTCAATTTGCATGAAGTAGGCCTGCAGAGGTAAAACACAACATTAGTCAGTTCAATGTAAGTCATTTTGCTAACCCCATAGTATGTGTGACAACATTAAAGATGAAGAGGTTGTAACCTCAAGTAACATTTCGAGCTCCTCAATATCATTGTCCCTTTGAACTATTGTTCCACTTGCTCTGCTTGATTTGTGTATTTTTGAACCTGTATTTGGAGAACCATAAAGCCAATAGGGAGCGTCAGAGCTACTTGTTGGAGAGGCTGAAACAGTAGACTTTCTTGATAAGTAAAGATCAGCCATGTCGTCGTCATCATCAAGTAGGTTTTCCAGTTCATCCCTAATCTACAAGAAAGCTAGTAAAGTAAATGCAAACAGAAAAAAACATTGGTTGTAATTACCAAAAGAGATATTTATGATCATAACAAAAAAAAAAGTTTTTTTTTTTTTCTATTTCTCAACTAGGTTTGTCTAACTGTATCAGTAAAAACATGTTGAGGTAAAATTAAAATAATTATTTACGTTATACAATAGCTTACAATTCAGCAACATCATTACTGAACTATTGTCTAATGTTAATTATATATCACACTTCTCTCTTTTATTACCATCATCCAAAAGAGTATAGCTGATAAGTTTCATTCGTCGAGAGACAACTACACCAATTATACCTTTCATATCTGTTTAGGGTTATTTTATTTCTGTTCAAAGAATAAATAAAGAATATAGTACGCAAAAAACTTCAAAGCAAGTTTTTCATATGTGTATCCAAGTCATAGAAAAAAATCTAAAAACTAAAGGAGAAAAAAGCTTAACTCTTTTTGAATCCAGAAGTATCCAAGAAATATAGTGGAAGTATCTTAGGCAAAAATTGAAAAATTAAATAACAAAGATGGAGTACTTTTCAGATTCGTATCTTATAATATCCAACATAGGGACACAACACTTTTCCAATTTTGGAGTACGTAGGCTTCATAGTTAACTACTACTTTAGTAATGAAGACAACAATACCACGTTCTTGTTTTAGGAGCAAAATTGTGTAATAAAGAATTCGTAAAGAAAAGG